ACACATGGGCCTCCCTTCCATACACACTCTGTAACGGCCACACACCATTTCAAGACTCTTAACAAATGTACATCCATTGCTTATGTGTTTAGATTATGAATTAATCCTTTTCATCTTCTAAATTGATCACAGCCATGTTCTATTCATCAGTTTTGCATTTTAAAGTATGAACCAGATTATTTTTGCAGAAATATTTTTTGTTTTCCATGTACTTTAGTGTTTACAAAATCTGAAATTAAAAAGGCAGATAAGGTCAATCCTTTGCACTGAATGATAAAGAAATTGTTCTTAAATACTCATACTTACATATTTATTAGTTGTCAAATTGAAACATTCTTTTTTTGACAATTATTCATAGCTGTGATTCTTATAGCAAAGGGTGCTACCGTCTAATTATGATAAAAATAACTGACCTTCAGGTCAAATGAGTTGTCCTTACAGAGGTGAATGGAGCAAAGCCCAATGAACCCTGGGAGAAGTGGATTCTTTACATATCAAACACATTTCAATTTAGTTATTTAACAAAAGAAAAATTCAGATTGTAGAAATTTTCAAAAAAACATTATTGGTACATACTTGCAATACATGTTATATACATTAATTTATTTGTCATGATATTGTGCCAGGTAATGTTGTGTATCATCCTGACAGTAAACCAGCTGACACTGCCATCACTGGGAAACGAGCAGTGAAAATGCATAGGCTATAGAGGGTTCATTGAACAAGAAACCTCAATTACATTTGAGCTAGTGATTGATGAAAACAATACTTTTTATATATGAGGCAATATTTTTTTATATAAGTGTGTTTACCAACATCTTAAATGAAGATCAACTAGACAGAAACACTTCTTGTTCAATCATATCATATCATTTGCAACACTTCTCAATATTGTGTCAAATTCAGTTTAAAATACTGATAAGGATTCTTGGGAGCAAAGAGTATTCTACCTATTTATTTAGGCTCTATTTAAACACATCAGTTCTCAATCCTGATAGTAAACACCATTACAGTAAGTGGCGTAGAAATACACGTCAATACTGAAGGGCAGTCGTGTCTAGAGGAGAGACCTTGGTTCAGGACTGAAGGGCAGTAATGTCTGTAGGAGACCTTGTTTCAGGACTGGAGGGCAGCCATGTCTAGAGGAGAGACCTTGGTTCAGGAGTGAAGGGCAGTAATGTCTGTAGGAGACATTGTTTCAGGACTGAAGGGCAGTCATGTCTGGAGGAGACCTTGGTTCAGGACTGAAGGGCAGTAATGTCTGTAGGAGACCTTGTTTCAGGACTGGAGGGCAGCCATGTCTAGAGGAGAGACCTTGGTTCAGGACTGAAGGGCAGTAATGTCTGTAGGAGACATTGTTTCAGGACTGAAGGGCAGTCATGTCTGGAGGAGACCTTGGTTCAGGACTGAAGGGCAGTCATGTCTGTATGAGACGTTGTTTCAGGACTGAAAGGCAGGCATGTCTGTAGGAGACCTTGTTTCAGGACTGGAGGGCAGCCATGTCTAGAGGAGAGACCTTGGGTCAGGACTGAAGGGGAGTAATGTCTGTAGGAGACCTTGTTTCAGGACTGAAGGGCAGTCATGTCTGTAGGAGACCTTGTTTCAGTACTGAAGGGCAGTCATGTCTGTAGGAGACCTAGTTTCAGGACTGAAGGGCAGTCATGTCTGTAGGAGACCTTGGTTCAGGACTGGAGGGCAGCCATGTCTAGAGGAGAGACCTTGGTTCAGGACTGAAGGGCAGTCATGTTTGTAGGAGACCTTGTTTCAGGACTGAAGGGCAGTCATGTCTGTAGGAGACCTTGTTTCAGGACTGAAGAGCAGCCATGTCTGTAGGAGACCTTGTTTCAGGACTGAAGGGCAGTCATGTTTGTAGGAGACCTTGTTTCAGGACTGAAGAGCAGCCATGTCAGTAGGAGACCTTGTTTCAGGACTGAAGGGCAGTCATGTTTGTAGGAGACCTTGTTTCAGGACTGAAGAGCAGTCATGTCTGTAGGAGACCTTGTTTCAGGACTGGAGGGCAGCCATGTCTAGAGGAGAGACCTTGGTTCAGGACTGAAGGGCAGTCATGTCTGTAGGAGAGACCTTGGTTCAGGACTGAAGGGCAGTCATGTCTGCAGGAGACCTTGTTTCATTACTGAAGGGCAGTCATGTCTGTAGGAGACCTAGTTTCAGGACTGAAGGGCAGTCATGTCTGTAGGAAACCTTGTTTCAGGACTGAAGGGCAGTCATGTCTGTAGGAAACCTTGTTTCAGGACTGAAGGGCAGTCATGTCTAGAGGAGAGACCTTTTTCAGGACTAAAGGGCAGTCATGTCTGTAGGAGACGTTGTTTCAGGAATGAAGGGCAGTCATGTCTGTAGGAGAGACCTTGGTTCGGGACTGGAGGGCAGTCATGTCTAGAGGAGAGACCTTTTTCAGTACTGAAGGGCAGTCATGTCTGTAGGAGACGTTGTTTCAGGAATGAAGGGCAGTCATGTCTGTAGGAGAGACCTTGTTTCAGGACTGAAGGGCAGTCATGTTTGTAGGAGACCTTGTTTCAGGACTGAAGAGCAGCCATGTCTGTAGGAGACCTTGTTTCAGGACTGAAGGGCAGTCATGTCTGTAGGAAACCTTGTTTCAGGACTGAAGGGCAGTCATGTCTGTAGGAGAGACCTTGGTTCAGGACTGGAGGGCAGTCATGTCTAGAGGAGAGACCTTTTTCAGGACTGAAGGGCAGTCATGTCTGTAGGAGACGTTGTTTCAGGACTGAAGGGCAGTCATGTCTGTAGGAGAGACCTTGGTTCAGGACTGAAGGGCAGTCATGTCTGTAGGAGACCTTGGTTTAGTACTGAAGGGCAGTCATGTCTGTAGCAGTACTTTTCATCAAATAGACCATTTCAAACCTCCAAGATATCATGCATGGCATTGGGAAGTTGTCATACAAACCTAAGTGGCAACTTTTACAATGGGATGCTACACAGCAATGTTGGCATTCCTGATCACAACGATCATTTTAAAAATGCACTCCTGTGTTAACAAGGGGAAATAACTCTGATGGAATGCCATGTTAGAACAGCTGTCCACTTCCAATCTGTTAGTTAATCTACCTAGCACAGAATTATATCAACAGCTGGGATGACTGGAATTTTCTAATGGTTCACTGACAGTAGCTGTGTATTACAGTACCAGGATGTACATACGACGTCAAACTACGCCTGTACCTAAACGCCATGTACAAGTCCATCCAAATTACAAACACTTAATTCACAATATGGGTACCACATCAATCAATGAATGGGTGTGTAGTTACTAATAATTACGGAATATGGAGGGAAAATCTGTTGATGTAAACATCTTTTAGCATGAAAAGTTTTCCACAAGTCTGAGTATACGTATAATATCACAAAGCACAAATATAAACACTCACTGAACATTACTGTTAGCTAAGAAAAGAAACATGTTAAAAATAAAAACATATTCAAGTATAAATAAAATGGGAGATTGAGTGTAGATTATACCACAAACAGGACTGAATTAGTCTATAACACATCCTACACCTCATGTATTTGGTGTTGTTGACAACCCCTGACTTTGTGATACACTGCCTAGTGCTGTGTAGGGAATACTAGGTACAATGTCAAAAGTACAAATGAAAAAGCCACGGTCACTAAAAATGACGACATATAAGTGGACCATTTAAACATGGTCATTTTGATATGGAGGGGATCAAATATGTCTGCAAAAAACCATCTGTAATCCCATTTACTTCACTGATGGGATCTGACGTCAACTTTTCTTTTAGACTAATGTTATGGGTTATCATTTAGACCTATTGCAAGTAATACTTGTGTTGAGCTCAGACTAAAATGTTACAAATAACTGTGTAAAATAACTGTCAACATAAACTGGGTAGATGTTAGGACGTCTCTGACAATACACGTTTTCTCACCTAATATCAAACCTTTACGAAACCTCCTTTGGAAATTACTCATTAAAAAATTCAGCTACATTTGTATGTGTTTTAAAGTCCTTGAACTTATTCTTTTGAGGAGAAAAATGTTTTTCGTGTATTTTGTTTTAAAGAAATGGAAATATGTATGTAAAGGTGTGTGATAATGAAGCGGACCTGGACTGGGTTGATCACTGGCGACCAGGTAGCTTAAAGGGTTAGTGTTCGTCTACAGTGGAAAGTCCCAGGTTTGAATCCCAGTCTATTTTTCCTCTCCTGTTGCAGTAGTGCCTGTAACATACCCTTGTTTCAAGTATTTCGTGTATGCTTGTCAAGGGTTACTAAACCTGGCAAAAAGAAGGGAGGAATATTGGCTTTCGAGTAGCTCAATTGGTTAGATAGTCTGTTTCGAGTTTGGAAGTCCCAGGTTACAATCCTGGTCTGGCTGTGCATTTTTCCTTTCCTGTTGCACTAATAATTTCACAAAATAGTCTCCTCTCTGTAAAGAAGAAATAGGCAACATCATACATGCACTACACACATTTTTTATCATATACTGCAACAAATAATATTCAATTAAATTGAAAATTGTCAACTAAGACTGTTTAGTGAAAATGAAAGATATTATCTTATTTTCTGCAAACGTATACACTGTAACTGAAAATTAAACAAGAGGCCCATGGGCCTTAACGGTCACCTGAGTCTACAGTATTTATTTTTGTTGTTGAAATATGTACCAATTTGAGTAAAAAATAGTATAATGTTAACTTAACTTTGTCAGGACCATGAGCTGATCATTCCTAGACCAATTTTAAGTGAGATCGGCCTATTAGAACTTAGTAGCAAAATAGCGGCCATGGCAGCCAAATTGTATTTCTGATTGACCCGAAAAATAACAACACTTTGTCAGGACCATGAGGCGATCATTCCTACCAACTTTTAGTTCAATCGGCCCAGCAGAACTTGACTTTAAGTTTGAAATGTAAAATGTTAACGGACGACGGACGACGGACGACGGACGATGGACGACGGATGACGGACGACGGACGACGACGGATGACGGACGACGGACGACGACGGACGAAAACGGATAGCAATAGGTCACTTGAGCTAAAGCTCAGGTGACCTAAAAATAATTTTCATTTTCTCCAGAAAAAGTTCCTTGCATCTAATAACCATTATCCTCTTTACTCCCAAGTGTAACTTTAGGAAACTAAACAGGATTTATCGTTGGAACCGCATCAGACACAGATAATGACTGGAGGTAGTCACACCAATCTATTGTCAGAATCAACCGACACGATAATTTCACATTCATTTTCACAGATCCATGATATGCTGGAGATTTCTTGCGACACCACAAATCTTGAGCTTGTTCATCTGGAGACCTGAGAGAGATGTGCCGAGTAAAAATAAGTCCAGTCAGACTACACTGTGGAGGGACCGTCATAACCACAGCATAGCACTGTTCAACTCGCAGACTGTAATACAATTTACTCACAGTTAGACTGCAATACAATTTACTCAAAGTAAGACTGTAATACAACTTCCAACTTTAAGTACAGAAGAATACTGCACCATTATTTACACAACCTGCACTTATATAGAAGTTTAGTGCAAAAAGCACATGGATCTCACATCATATGTAAAACTTGCTCCTCTGAGCAGGGGGAGTCTCACGGCTGCCTGTCTGTATACTAGTACTGGAGTTATTTGCATCCTCAGGTTTTGATTTTACAGAACTGTTTGGAGTTGCCTCTTCTCTGATCGGGTCAAGGTTTGAGGTGCTCCGTTTCATATTTCCATTTGATGTCCTATTAGGTGGCGCTGCGGGTGATGGTGAGTTGTCGTTGAAGCTATGGTAGTCCTCGGCCGGATGATACAGCTGTCTGTACTGGTGATCATCTATACTGGCACTGAATGCTGAGTTCTGTATAGAGAAAAACATCTGCAATACACGCTTTTTGTTTATGTTGGTTCCACGGTGTAGACAACAGCCTGGCACAACACCTAGATACTTACCACATCAAGGATATAGAGTGAAATGTCATTAATTCTAAATAAGACAAATGGCCCTCGGATGCCCTGATTCCAACCACAATGTGGAAGGCTTATAGAAATTGCATTTTTCAAGAACATCTTTTATTCAAAAATATGATAGATAAAAAAAGAACTTAATAATCTAATTGTAATGGCCACTAAATTCAATGTTTAAAACTTTTTTTGCAAATTGAAGCAAAATTATAACATATTGTAAAGTTGTAGCAGGATGACTGTGAAATCTTACCCCATCATCACTGAGGGCAGGTATAAGGTCGTCGTGATCCACCATAGGAGGCGACGGCTGGAACACGAACAGCATCACCCAGATAGGCAACAAGAGTTTTAACACCTGAAACACGAACAGCATTACCCAGATATATAGGTAACAAGAGTTTTAACACCTGAAACATGAACAGCATCACTCGGATATATAGGTAACAAGAGTTTTAACACCTGAAACACATAAATCAGAATCTTACACCTGAGATAAACTGTCAGGTCTGACCTTTATTACTTATCGTTTAAAAATATTAGCAGTGAAAAACCTTCTTTTAAGATCTGTTCAGTAACATGTCAAATGAGTATTGCTATGTAGGGAGTTCAGAAAAAGAATGGAAATTTTCACATTTCAAATAATCCACTCTTTCCAGTCTCAAACAATTAAATGATGGACTTATTCCTCAATATTTTACTATTTTACAACTATGATCATCATAGACTTGTGTCTGATTTTAGCTTACCATAAAAATAATAAATATTGTTGAGTACAGCTCTTCTGCATCATTCTGCAATGGATAATAAAAGCAAAACTGAGTTATCTACTGGACAATTGTGTAAAACTGAGTTATCTGTACTGGACAATTGTGTAAAACTGAGTTATCTGTACTTGACAATTGTGCAATTATTAACTATTTCTGGATTGAGAAACAAAATACTAGATGCATAAAAGATTTTGTAACCAAAACAACATTTAACTTATGATAGGATCAGGAGTTCCTAACAGTTGGCCCAAATAGCTATATATAGGGACTCAGGAGTCCCCAACAGTAGGCCCAAATAGCTAGTATAGGGACTCGACTTATTCCCTATAAAACTGTTAACTAAACTAGAGTCACTAACAGTGGGCCCAAATAGCTATATATAGGGACTCGACTTATTCCCTATAAAACTGTAAACTAAACTAGAGTCCCCAACAGACGGCCCAAATAGCTATATAGGGACTCGACTTATTCCCTATAATACTGTAAACTTAACTAGAGTCCCTAACAGTGGGCCCAAATAGCTATATAGGGACTCGACTTATTCCCTATTATACTGTAAACTAAACTAGAGTCCCCAACAGTGGGCCCAAATACCTATATATAGGGACTCGACTTATTTCTTATAAAACTGTAGACCAAACTAGAGTCCCTAACAGTGGGCCCAAACAGCTATACATAGGGACTCGACTTATTCCCTTATAATACTGTAAACTAAACTAGAGTCCCCAACAGTGGGCCCAAATAGGTATATATAGGGACTCGACTTATTTCTTATAAAACTGTAAACCAAACTAGAGTCCCTAACAGTGGGCCCAAATAGCTATATATAGGGACTCGACTTATTTCTTATAAAACTGTAAACTAAACTAGAGTCCCTAACAGTGGGCCCAAACAGCTATACATAGGGACTCGACTTATTCCCTTATAATACTGTAAACTTAACTAGAGTCCCCAACAGTGGGCCCAAATAGCTATATAGGGACTCGACTTATTCCCTTATAATACTGTAAACTTAACTAGAGTCCCCAACAGTGGGCCCAAATAGCTATATAGGGACTCGACTTATTCCCTTATAATACTGTAAACTTAACTAGAGTCCCCAACAGTGGGCCCAAATAGCTATATAGGGACTCGACTTATTCCCTTATAATACTGTAAACTTAACTAGAGTCCCCAACAGTGGGCCCAAATAGCTATATAGGGACTCGACTTATTCCCTTATAATACTGTAAACTTAACTAGAGTCCCCAACAGTGGGCCCAAATAGCTATATAGGGACTCGACTTATTCCCTTATAATACTGTAAACTTAACTAGAGTCCCCAACAGTGGGCCCAAATAGCTATATAGGGACTCGACTTATTCCCTTATAATACTGTAAACTTAACTAGAGTCCCCAACAGTGGGCCCAAATAGCTATATAGGGACTCGACTTATTCCCTTATAATACTGTAAACTTAACTAGAGTCCCCAACAGTGGGCCCAAATAGCTATATAGGGACTCGACTTATTCCCTTATAATACTGTAAACTTAACTAGAGTCCCCAACAGTGGGCCCAAATAGCTATATAGGGACTCGACTTATTCCCTTATAATACTGTAAACTTAACTAGAGTCCCCAACAGTGGGCCCAAATAGCTATATAGGGACTCGACTTATTCCCTTATAATACTGTAAACTTAACTAGAGTCCCCAACAGTGGGCCCAAATAGCTATATAGGGACTCGACTTATTCCCTTATAATACTGTAAACTTAACTAGAGTCCCCAACAGTGGGCCCAAATAGCTATATAGGGACTCGACTTATTCCCTTATAATACTGTAAACTTAACTAGAGTCCCCAACAGTGGGCCCAAATAGCTATATAGGGACTCGACTTATTCCCTTATAATACTGTAAACTTAACTAGAGTCCCCAACAGTGGGCCCAAATAGCTATATAGGGACTCGACTTATTCCCTTATAATACTGTAAACTTAACTAGAGTCCCCAACAGTGGGCCCAAATAGCTATATAGGGACTCGACTTATTCCCTTATAATACTGTAAACTTAACTAGAGTCCCCAACAGTGGGCCCAAATAGCTATATACATGTATAGGGACTTGACTTATTCCCTATAAAACTGTAAACTTAACTAGAGTCCCCAACAGTGGGCCCAAATAGCTATATACATGTATAGGGACTCGACTTATTCCCTTATAATACTGTAAACTTAACTAGAGTCCCCAACAGTGGGCCCAAATAGCTATATACATGTATAGGGACTTGACTTATTCCCTATAACACTGTAAACTAAACTATGTATAAAGAATCAATACGAAAGTAAAATGGAATCTTGAAAGCAAGCTAACAGAGATACATATCAAACTTATGACTTTTTCCCTGTAATCTTTGGTGTATCCATTGTACCTTATAAAATGTTGTAGATAATAAAATGAAGTTTAAATCAAACCATAGGTACTACTGTATATCAAGGTTTTACTGTTTAGTGGCAAACAAGGGGCTGTATAGCCAGGGACGTTTTCGTTTAAACAGTTGAACGGACCACAGTTGTTCGTTTATTAAATAAGGTCGGACCTAGTAATCTGATGCTGCTTTCAGACAAGCCTTGACAAAGCCTTGCGAGGCCTGCGTAAACATTTGCAGGTCCGCCAACATTTATATCTGAAATTGTTACATTTACAAATGGACAAACCGGTTGTTCCACATAAACGAACAGGCCCCAGATGTGTTTAACAGACTAAGGTTTGGGATAGGCATTACTTGGTTAAACAAGGCTAGAAAGGGTCTTTCTCCCACTATTCACCGAATTGTCACCTGTTTTACCTGTTCCAAGATTCCCCTGTCACCACTGGGAGGACAGATCACACATAGGTAGGAGAGATTCTATTAATATCTCATGATCATTTAACAAGGCAGGGGACGGATATTTCTGAGCATGTGCTTGTCAGAATTGAAACAAAGAAATTTGAGTGGCTGAGCTATGATCATAAGGATTCCTGTAAAGTTAGGGACATTACAAGCTAATCATATTGTATCCATTACATAGTAAGGGACATTACAAGCTAATCATATTGTATCCATTACAAAGTTAGGGACATTACAAACTAATCATATTGTACCCATTACATAGTTAGGGACATTACAAGCTACTCATATTGTATCCATTACATAGTTAGGGACATTACAAGCTAATCATATTGTATTCATAACATAGTAAGATTTTCTGGAAAGTCTAAATCTGTTCAATAAATTTTGTGGTGAAAAATATAAAAAAATATCTCATTATTCACTTCACATCACTAAAATATTAAACTTACAAAAATTTTACTGCATCCACTGGCTTCATCACCCACTGTCAAAGAAACAAAATTCAGGTTAAGTAACTATATCACACTACCAATGCCTCCAATGTTTTCAAACATGGAGAACACCCTGTTATAACTGGTGGTGAAATCTGCTGCCATGGAAACAAGCACAACTGTAGCCAAGACTTTAGAAGGCCAACTTTTCCCCAACCTAAATGTTGTGTCTGTGCCTCGACTCTTTGTCAGAATAAACTTTGTATCAATGTAAACAAAAATCAAACCATGTTTTAGACTAAATGCATTTTTCCTTGTCCAGTTCATTGATACACCTCCAAAGAGTAGTAATTACTCGGCTAAAAATGGGAGATAAAAATATATCATACACAGTCACAATGTTACAATGTAAAGACAATAAGATGAGGACAACATTTTAATCTATTTTACAACTTAATCTTCTAGTTCAAGTATTTGATCTTATTTCATTGCTGTATAATTTATATATCATTTGAAGTTAAACTTTCAGTATTAACCAAACATTGATGCACAGACACTTTTTTCAGTAATATGTATACCGTCTTAAAATCAGTTCAATATTAAAGAAGATGATATTTTGCCATAACATGCTGGCTAAACCACTCAGTCAAATATATTGGTATTATAAACAATGTAAGAAAATAACAGATTTATGTAGGACAGAAGTATCGCGCCATTGGGTACATAACTTGGGTTCAAAAATCTCGACAAGTCTCAGTTTTGCCCCTAATTCTGTACCCTTGGGTGGGTAATTCTGTACCCTTGGGTGGGTAATTCTGTACCCTTGGGTGGGTAATTCTGTACCCTTGGGTGAGATATATAGAGATCTTGTGATGTACATGTGTTAATACTTACAAATCTTTAGCATAATATCATACAGGAATCCAACAAATGCTGATATCTCAAACACAATCACGATGCTGAAATAGGAAACAAATGTCACTTTATCTGGAGCCTGAGGAAAAAAACATTTACTATATCGATCTATAGATCTCCACTGATAATATAAAAATAATTCTGTGACAAAGACAACCATTACAAATACTGATTGTTTTTATGATGGCAGTGTAAATTATATACTTTTTGAAATGTACAACTGGTTGTGATCAACATCAACATCAGCAAGTCCTACAATAGACATACTTCATAAACTCCCAACAACAATGCAGTAAGAGATGTCAGGTTTGTTCCTTTTTTATCACAGTAGAAAGCTTAAGTGTGTGTGAATGTTAGACGTTATGTCACACAGGCTACATCCCTATGACTTAAGGCAAGACACTGAATAAGAATTCCTTACAACATTCTGATAAATATTTACCACCACAAGTCCCTCTTCTGTGACCAGCGGACTGAATCAAGAGTACTGATTTCATTTAGTCGACGTGTGATATAAAAGCCTGCCACTCCAAACAACTGGACAGTGACAAACTCTGCCCCCGACAACTCCAGCCAGTACGGTTCTGTGGGGAGAAAATTGTCAACAAATAATGATAACCAGCCAATACAGATTAACATCACCGATAAATAAATCTGGGGTTTAGACCTGGCCCAACTCACATAACCCAACAGAGAACTGTTGGGTATATGTTACCAATTAGAGGCTCAAAGGGCCTGTATCATTAACCTGAGTATTTAAGCATCATATGGCAAAATATTCTGATTCATAGAAATGATAATTGTTTCATGATTATTGTAAAATAAATAAAGTAATATTTTATGGTGACCGTCTGTGCAACACTTTACTAAGAGTAAGATTTTTGAGCAAAAATGCCTTAAATAGAAGTTCCACCTTTCTGGCTCAGGGAAGACACATTCCTTATTTGATGGGCAAGTTCCTTCGGCCAAAGCAAGCTTTGGACAAAGTTTGTTTACTATCTATCTCTTAATCAGCAAGGAAATGGGAGGATTTTAAAGACCTACATTTCTCGCATTAAGCCTCACCCCTCTGCCCCTGGGAGGCCACAACTTTCATTTCTACAATACTGTGTCCCATAACCCAAGAATGCTCTAGATCTAATATGGTACCAGTGCTTTTGATGTATGACCAAGCATGCCTATGTTCAAAAGTTAACCATAACCGTCACTAAAATGATGAAGAGGAGTGTGATGGACAGACAAACAAAAACACAATACCCTTTTTTTCTAATGGTGGGAGTTTTATATATCTATATATCTATATTTTTATAGAAATTGCTATAATTAAATAATGTAGACACAATACCTTCTATACAGAGGTATAATAATTGCTAACAGATCTGTCCCTTATAGATATTGACATGTTTAACTCACATAGACTCAATACCTCCTATAAAGAGGTATGGTAATTACTAACAGATCTGTCTCCTTATAAATATTGACATGTTTTACTCACGTAGACTCAATACCACTTATAAAGAGGTATAATAATTGCTAACAGATCTGTATCCTTATAAATATTGAAATGTTTAACTCACATAGACACAAGACCTGCTATAAAGAGGTATAATAATTGCTAACAGATCTGTATCCTTATAAATATTCACATGATTAACTCACATAGACACAAGACCTGCTATAAAGAGGTATGATAATTGCTAACAGATCTGTCTCCTTATAAATATTGACATGTTTTACTCACATAGACTCAATACCACATTTAAAGAGGTATACTAATTGCTAACAGATCTGTATCCTTATAAATATTGAAATGTTTAACTCACATAGACACAAGACCTGCTATAAAGAGGTATGATAATTGCTAACAGATCTGTCTCCTTATAAATATTGACATGTTTTACTCACATAGACTCAATACCACCTTTAAAGAGGGATACTAATTGCTAACAGATCTGTATCCTTATAAATATTGACATGTTTTACTCACATAGACTCAATACCACCTTTAAAGAGGTATACTAATTGCTAACAGATCTGTATCCTTATAAATATTGACATGTTTTACTCACATAGACTCAATACCACCTTTAAAGAGGTATACTAATTGCTAACAGATCTGTATCCTTATAAATATTGACATGTTTAACTCACATAGACACAAGACCTGCTATAAAGAGGTATGATAATTGCTAACAGATCTGTCTCCTTATAAAGATTGACATGTTTAACTCAGGTAAAAACGATACCTCCTTTAAAGAGGTATACTAATTGCTAACAGAGTTTCCTTATAGAGGTAGCCATGTTTAACTCACGTAGACATTCTGTCAGTGTAGACTGCACATTTACGATGCCCAGTGTAGCTATGACTGTGAAGTAAACACACACCAAGACCAGGAATGGAATAAGGAACCTACAATAAAACAGTACTGTATAAACAAAGTATGTGACATAAGATATATTGTATCTGTGTACAAGGTATGTGACATAAGATATATTGTATCTGTGTACAAAGTATGTGACATAAGATATATTGTATCTGTGTACAAAGTATGTGACATAAGATATATTGTATCTGTGTACAAAGTATGTGACATAAGATATATTGTATCTGTGTACAAAGTATGTGACATAAGATATATTGTATCTGTGTACAAAGTATGTGACATAAGATATATTGTATCTGTGTACAAAGTATGTGACATAAGATATATTGTATCTGTGTACAAAGTATGTGACATAAGATATATTGTATCTGTGTACAAAGTATGTGACATAAGATATATTGTATCTGTGTACAAAGTATGTGACATAAGATATATTGTATCTGTGTACAAAGTATGTGACATAAGATATATTGTATCTGTGTACAAAGTATGTGACATAAGATATATTGTATCTGTGTACAAAGTATGTGACATAAGATATATTGTATCTGTGTACAAAGTATGTGACATAAGATATATTGTATCTGTGTACAAAGTATGTGACATAAGATATATTGTATCTGTGTACAAAGTATGTGACATAAGATATATTGTATCTGTGTACAAAGTATGTGACATAAGATATATTGTATCTGTGTACAAAGTATGTGACATAAGATATATTGTATCTGTGTACAAAGTATGTGACATAAGATATATTGTATCTGTGTACAAAGTATGTGACATAAGATATATTGTATCTGTGTACAAAGTATGTGACATAAGATATATTGTATCTGTGTACAAAGTATGTGACATAAGATATATTGTATCTGTGTACAAAGTATGTGACATAAGATATATTGTATCTGTGTACAAAGTATGTGACATAAGATATATTGTATCTGTGTACAAAGTATGTGACATAAGATATATTGTATCTGTGTACAAAGTATGTGACATAAGATATATTGTATCTGTGTACAAAGTATGTGACATAAGATATATTGTATCTGTGTACAAAGTATGTGACATAAGATATATTGTATCTGTGTACAAAGTATGTGACATAAGATATATTGTATCTGTGTACAAAGTATGTGACATAAGATATATTGTATCTGTGTACAAAGTATGTGACATAAGATATATTGTATCTGTGTACAAAGTATGTGACATAAGATATATTGTATCTGTGTACAAAGTATGTGACATAAGATATATTGTATCTGTGTACAAAGTATGTGACATAAGATATATTGTATCTGTGTACAAAGTATGTGACATAAGATATATTGTATCTGTGTACAAAGTATGTGACATAAGATATATTGTATCTGTGTACAAAGTATGTGACATAAGATATATTGTATCTGTGTACAAAGTATGTGACATAAGATATATTGTATCTGTGTACAAAGTATGTGACATAAGATATATTGTATCTGTGTACAAAGTATGTGACATAAGATATATTGTATCTGTGTACAAAGTATGTGACATAAGATATATTGTATCTGTGTACAAAGTATGTGACATAAGATATATTGTATCTGTGTACAAAGTATGTGACATAAGATATATTGTATCTGTGTACAAAGTATGTGACATAAGATATATTGTATCTGTGTACAAAGTATGTGACATAAGATATATTGTATCTGTGTACAAAGTATGTGACATAAGATATATTGTATCTGTGTACAAAGTATGTGACATAAGATATATTGTATCTGTGTACAAAGTATGTGACATAAGATATATTGTATCTGTGTACAAAGTATGTGACATAAGATATATTGTATCTGTGTACAAAGTATGTGACATAAGATATATTGTATCTGTGTACAAAGTATGTGACATAAGATATATTGTATCTGTGTACAAAGTATGTGACATAAGATATATTGTATCTGTGTACAAAGTATGTGACATAAGATATATTGTATCTGTGTACAAAGTATGTGACATAAGATATATTGTATCTGTGTACAAAGTATGTGACATAAGATATATTGTATCTGTGTACAAAGTATGTGACATAAGATATATTGTATCTGTGTACAAAGTATGTGACATAAGATATATTGTATCTGTGTACAAAGTATGTGACATAAGATATATTGTATCTGTGTACAAAGTATGTGACATAAGATATATTGTATCTGTGTACAAAGTATGTGACATAAGATATATTGTATCTGTGTACAAAGTATGTGACATAAGATATATTGTATCTGTGTACAAAGTATGTGACATAAGATATATTGTATCTGTGTACAAAGTATGTGACATAAGATATATTGTATCTGTGTACAAAGTATGTGACATAAGATATATTGTATCTGTGTACAAAGTATGTGACATAAGATATATTGTATCTGTGTACAAAGTATGTGATGTAAGATATATTGTATCTGTGTACAAGGTATGTGACATAAGATATATTGTATCTGTGTACAAAGTATGTGACATAAGATATATTGTATCTGTGTACAAGGTATGTGACATGAGATATATTGTATCTGTGTACAAGGTATGTGACATAAGATATATTGTATCTGTGTACAAAGTATGAGACATAAGATATATTGTATCTGTGTACAAAGTATGTGATGTAAGATATATTGTATCTGTGACAAGTCAACCTTTAACTCTGTCATCTGTAAAATCTGTCACAAGAGTTTTGTCTATTTTTGAGGATTTTTCAGAAGCTGCCTTATCCGGTGTTTACTACAAGCCCTTTTGTCACAAGGCTTATATTTCCTCATGCGTATGTCATACACATACATATATGCTGGAGATGTCTTTTGTTCCGAGATGGAAATAAGCTTCCAAAGCTCTGTTTCCTAAACTATTTTATACTCCACCTCGCTTGAATACCCCAATAGACTTACTGCAGCACACTCCCTAAACTATTGTATACTCCACCTCGCTTGAATACCCCAATAGACTTACTGCAGCACACTCCCTAAACTATCGTATACTCACCTCGCTTGAATACCCCCATAGACTTACTGCAGCACACTCCCTAAACTATTGTATACTCCACCTTGCTTGTATACCCCAATAGACTTACTGCAGCACACTCCCTAACCTATTGTATACTCCTCCTTGCTTGAATGCCCCAATAGACTTACTGCAGCACACTCACTAAACTATTTTATAACCCACCTCGCTTGAATACCCCAACAGACTTACTGCAGCACCCTCCCTAAACTATCGTATCCTCACCTCGCTTGAATACCCCCATAGACTAACTGCAGCACACTCCCTAAACTATTGTATACTCACCTCGCTTGAATACCCCAATAGACTTACTGCAGCACACTCCCTAAACTATTTTATAACCCACCTCGCTTGAATACCCCAACAGACTTACTGCAGCACACTCCCTAAACTATTTTATACTCCACCTCACTTGAATACCCCAATAGACTTACTGCAGGACACTCCCTAAACTATTGTATACTCACCTCCCTTGAATACCCCAATAGACTTACTGCAGCACACTCCCTAAACTATCGTATACTCACCTCGCTTGAATACCCCCATAGACTTACTGCAGCACACTCCCTAAACTATTTTATACTCCACCTACATGTTGGTTGTTGGGAATTGTATTGACAGGAGAAAAACACTACAAATATTCCATGCTTCAACCCCAGGGATCAAGCCTCGGCCATCTGCGCGGAAGGCCAGAGTTTTACAATGGGTATTCGTGAGATTTTCATACCATTTTGTGAGTCGTTCACGTCTCAGTGCCCGTGTGGCCAGGGTCCAGTAGAAGTGACACATGACCAGGAACTGTAACAACTTGAGGTACTGCAGCACAAAGTCCAGCTGTGCATAAGCCACCAGTACCCAATGGACACCCCTGTAACAGATACAGCACAAATATAATTAACCAATGGACATCCCTGTAACTAAGTCCATACAAATAGGTATAATTCTACTATACCGGCCATGTAATGTCACATTTCATTGGTTTATAACTATGTTTTATTGGATAAAAAAACATGTGTATACATACACATGCGTTAATAAAACAAAAAACATGTACATGTTACGTTCTTCTTTAAGTCCTAATGACATGTCCCCTTAAAATAATTGAAACATCAATCCAAACTAGAACAGGTTACCAATCATCTCCCATCCACTTCAGGGATATGGGGTTGATGTCTTTATTTACCCAGCCACACACTCCGGAAATGAGCAGTAGACAATGACATCTCTACTTACCTAGCCATCATTCCGGAAATGTTCAGTAGACAATGACATCTCTACTTACCCAGTAACACACTCTGGAAATGAGCAGTAGACAATGACTTATCTATTACCCAGTCACACACTCTGGAAATGTTCAGTAGACAACAAAATCTCTACTTACCCATCCACACACTCTGGAAATGTTCAGTAGACACCAAAATCTCTACTTACCCATCCACACACTCTGGAATTGTTCAGTAGACAACAACAACTCTACTGACCCAACCACACACTCTGGAAATGTCCAGTAAACAACAACATCTCTACTTCCCCATCCACACACTCTGGAATTGTTCAGTAGACAACAACAACTCTACTGACCCAACCACACACTCTGGAAATGTCCAGTAAACAACAACATCTCTACTTCCCCATCCACACACTCTGGAATTGTTCAGTAGACAACAACATCTCTACTTCCCCATCCACACACTCTGGAAATGTCCAGTAAACAACAACATCTCTACTTACCCAATGACACACTCCAGGGATGCGCAGCAGACAATGACATCTCTACTTACCCAATGACACACTCCAGGGATGCGCAGCAGACAATGACACATCTACTTACCCAATGACACACTCCAGGGATGCACAGTAGACAATGACACATCTACTTACCCAATGACACACTCCAGGGATGCGCAGTAGAAGATGACATACTGATGCCAGGCTGGATGGTGATGTATGTGTAGTTTTGCTATCTTCATTATACATAACAGTGCTGTCACAACCGCCAAAAACGTCAACACTGAACTCCTGAGGGATATCAAGTAGATCATTTCATAATTCATTTGTGAGACAGCATGTATTAAAAGTCAGTAAATACAAAGCATAAGTGGTTAATAAGGTCATGGTTATTTATTTGAGGAAACTATATAATACTTCACTTCAGGTTAGGGTAGCTTCTGGTCAAATTTCATGACCCTTTCTGGTTTTGCTAGAAGAGTTTTACCAGAAATAGTTCTTAAAGTTGACCTTGACAAAATACCAGGTATATAAGATGTGCAGGGCTGGTATTCATATATTAACACAGTAAAGTATGTGCAGGGCTGGTATTCATAACATAGTAAAGTATGTGCAGGGCTGGTAATCATAACATAGTAAAGTATGTGCAGGGCTGGTATTCATAATATAGTAAAGCATGTGCAGGGCTGGTAATCATAACATAGTAAAGTATGTGCAGGGTTGGTTATCATAACATAGTAAAGTATGTGCAGGGCTGGTAATCATAACATAGTAAAGTATCATCAATCTAGACTCCACCACTTACTTAATGTGACCTTGAAATATAAAGCTTGGAAAGTCATACTATTTAAATTTTAAAATATGTAATGTGGCAGAACAGGTGAAAATGACAAATTCAGTACAGTGTTATATGTAATCAGAGATAAATTATCACTACTATCTACTGTGTATGTGGGTTGTTTCTCACCTGATGCAGGCTACTGTGTTGAATCTGCCAAAGCAGTTTGACCCCATGATATCGGTACCACCGGTTGTGTTGGCAAAAGGGATGCTCTTGTTCCCTACAACCTCCATCGTGGAAACAGTGGTCATCACAGGATGCTGGCTTAGGCACTGGAAGGTACTGTATATGGCAACTACATCATCTGAAAGTTTAACAAACACATAATGTACCAATAGTTGTAGATGATTTCAAATATAGATGTAATGGAGTAAACTGGCAGTGACCAGATAAAGCTTAGTGTTTACACTTCAGAGCTAGCTGTAGGTCCCAGCTAGGTCCTCACCCTGAACTTGCTGTTCCTATTACAATGTACATTATGCAAATAAATATACTTACAGATGTACACAGACCTATAGTAAACGGGGTCTTAAGGGTAAAGCCAAAGGGCTTTGTTGAAGGAGCTCCAGAGAGCTAGCTATATATAGGGACAAAGCGGAAATAGACTAGATTGTGATTACTTGTTAGTGTAGATTTCAAAGGTCCAAGATTTGAATCAGTCTGGCTGTTGTATTTTTCTTCTCTTGTCAGCTTGTTACAGAGTCTGCTGTCACCAATCTCACATCCCACATTATTTATGCTGACTTGGATAACATCTGTAGAAAACAATGCAATTGTTTATAACAATCTTTCAATTTTTATTTCATCCTTAGCTTAATACAGCAAAATAAACAGTGTAGCAGAACTTGACTGGGTCGTTCACTAGTGACCAGGTAGCTCATTTGGTAGATCGTCCAGATGGTTCCACGCTCAAGTCCCAGCCTGGCCATGCATTTCTAGACTTGATCTTCTCCTGTTACATTGGTACCTGCAGTGACCAATGTTCCAAGTATTGGGTACAATTGGCAAGGAGATATCCAAACTAAGGTTAACATTATAAACAGTGTTATCATATGCTTGAAAATTTCCTGCAATAAAAAAAAATGTCCCAGCTGGTCTTAGGATAATTTCTTGCATTATCTAAGCCTATATTCAGTCAATTGTCAACGATTCCAGTATACCAAACTTTCTTGATCAGTGGCAATAGTCAAGCCAGCGAATAACGTTGATGCCAGTCTCAGTATACGGTAATGCAACCACAGGGAGGTTCACAAACATGGTAAAATAGTGGTTGAACTGACGTGTGGATCGAGGACTAGTCACCAATGGAGTTGGGGAACTCGTCCAGTCATCGTCTGGATGGAATGATATATTACTGTAACCCTTGTAAATACTAGCTGCAATATACCGCTCGGCTAGAGAGATCTTCTCTTTAGCTTGATCGGTTCAGCATTAGACTAGTAAGCCAGGGGTCCCGGGTTCGATCCTCAGCGGAGGCAGGGAAATATTTGTTTAAATTTCACGTGCTCTGTTACATTGGCGCCCTCGTAGGGACCCGGGTGAATTGACAAAATACTCAGCGCTAGCTATACTTGCGAAGGAATGGCTATGACCGTGACCCCTGGAAGCTCGAGGACGAGTTCTTCCCTGGAGGGGGAGTATGTAACCCTTGTAAATACTAGCTGCAACATACCGCACGGCTAGAGAGATCTTCTCTTTAGCTTGATCGGTTGAGCATTAGACTAGTAAGCCAGGGGTCCCGGGTTCGATCCTCAGCGGAGGCAGTGCAATATTTGTTTAAATTTCACGTGCTCTGTTACATTGGCGCCCACGTAGGGACCCGGGTGAATTGACAAAATACTCCGCGCTAGCTATACTTGCGAAGGAATGGCTATGACCGTGACCCCTGGAAGCTCGAGGACGAGTTCTTCCCTGGAGGGGGAGTATGTAACCCTTGTAAATACTAGCTGCAATATACCGCACGGCTAGAGAGATATTCTCTTTAGCTTGATCGGTTGAGCGTTAGACTAGTAAGCCAGGGGTCCCGGGTTCGATCCTCAGCGGAGGCAGTGAAATATTTGTTTAAATTTCACGTGCTCTGTTACATAACCGTTTTTATACAGTAATCGAGTCCATGAACAGTCATGCTTGCCTGACTGACATAAGTATGGATGTAATTACAATGGGATGAACATTCAAACGAAGTTCGGGTTCAAGTAGGCCTAGGCAGGCTACTAACCATAATAACTAAAGCCTAAAGGCCGTTTAACAAAAAGGACTCTCCGCGCGCGATCAGGATCCTTACGAACGTTTGTAAGTTGTATGGCCTCATTGCAGGGCGAACAAACATAAATTAACCATCGTTACGTGAAATGTCCTGCTTAGACACCACATTTGATTTGGAAACATGTGGTTGACACTTGAATCAGTCATGTGCATCCATGACCTACCACGACTTACCTCACATCACGATGTTTATCCCGACGGACCAATAACATTATCTGTGTGTGCTTGAATAACGTGATAAATGCATACATGAATAGTATGCACAAGTTGTTTCGTTGTATAAACCAAAGCTAAAACGATTATAAAACAATAAACTTTTCAAAACACATGAAATGAAAACACACTGATTTTCCCGGAAGTGTTTTCCTGATTATCATTCTTTATTATAATTATTTCCCAATAGGTGGCGTGATATCGAAGGGGCCTTCAAAGGGAAATGCTTTATATCATATATGTTAGATAAAAAGTTGCAACGATGACTTCATTTAATTTGACAAAGTTTGGAATTATTATGATAGAAATTGGCATATTGTTATACTGTTTTTGTAACCAGAATTGTAATGTTTTGTTGGATAATAGCTCTGGAATATTGTAATTGTAGTCAACCATTGGAACTCACTGTCAAACACCAGAATGCTATTATAACTATGAAATTGATAATAATGAACTTATTAACAGTCGGGGTGTCAGCTTAGAGTCTGACGATACACCTGATCTGGATATATAGGCATATGCCTGCGTCCAGTACTATTGTATTATTATATTATATTAATATATGTTACGTCTCTGTTTTATGTAACCGACGTTAATATATAGTTTGGTTTAGTTTTGTTTAACGTCCTATTAACAGCTTAGGTCATTTAAGGACGTGCCTCCGTGTGTGTAGTGTTTGCGTGCTTGCTTGTTTGTATGCAGGAGACAGGGTTTGTCGTTGTGCCTGCCTCCTTGTGATAGCGCGGATCTGATACAGGCTTTATAGTGCTATCTCACTGAATTGCTATGCCGAAGCACCAAGCACAGCATTCTACCCGATCACATTATTGATAACGGGTGAATCAGTTGTAGCCATTCCCCTTAATGCTGAACGTTAAGCAGCTAGGGAATACCATTTTTAAGGACTTTGGTATGTCCCGCCTGGGGACAGAACCCATTGCCTTCCTCACCTGGGCGAACGCTCAACATTCAAGCCAAACGTGAGGTGTTGCCAAGCAAGGCACTAGGAAATAAAAGGTAATTAGAGGTAGAAAGAAAGTTAAAGTTCCCAAATATTGCAATGGGCGCAACAGATTTATTTTGGTCGCTTTTGTGTCCCCAAATAGAGGACACCAAAGCAAATCCCCAATTCTGCAGGGGTTCCCGCATTAGTCGCCTCCTACGATACATACAGTGGGTAACAGCATGTGTATTCTTTCCCCAAAACCCCCACCTGCAGGGGTGCCGACGTCAATACAGATTCTTGTATCTTGTATGTTCCGTTCCGTGAATTTTTTAAATGACACACATACAGCTCTCTTTGAAAAGAGTCATTATTAAAGAATTTTGGCCAAGATATTATACTTTTTGTAAAATTAGGCGAAACCTGTCTTACACTTAAATTAATACTGAATCATCGTTCAACGAGCGGTCAGAAGTGTTCGCTACCTATATATAGGCAACCAAAGGTGACCGCTCCTTACTGGTGAGAATTTTAATGAGCTAATATATAACCGGTCACCAGGTACTTGTGACGTCACAGTGGCTATAGGGTTCAGGAGCTACACTTCCTATATATTTCTGATTTGTTTCGATGGACAAGTCTGACAGTTTGATTCTTGACATGAACTTCATACTTAATATAATTCTCTACCAATTTAAGCCGAAGAAAGGACAAAGACAAATCACTATTACGTAAAAATTGACATCGGAGGACGATTCTGGGCCGCATTCATGAAACCGTTCTCGTGCTCAAGTATGGATTATGTGCTCAAACCAACTTTTTTGAAACTCATGTAAAGATTGAAAACAGCATTCGGCTTTAAATAGTTTCATATTGTTTTCCCAAATCATTGATAAAATAAGTTTATATTATTAATTTATAGCCGGAACAATACATAAGGCTTGAGTTCAAAATCCATGCTTAAGCATGACAACGGCTTCATGAATACAGTCCCTGATGTGACAGGAACGTAAATAAGATACGCGTATAGAACAGCGGCTACACAGAATGAAACATGCATACATATTTCTTGATTTGAAACAAAATAGACAGGTATGACGTAAGAGCCAGTTTAATAATGTTGCAACTGTTTAGAATCATATGTTCTGAAATCTGCTGAGAACTCGCTGGTATTCCTCCTACTCAATATCCCGTGTAACGTCACATATCCACACATTCACGTCTAAAAGTGAAAGTTTTACCAAAAACCTTTTACATCTGAGTTTGATGTAGTATTAGAGGACGTAGACATGGAACGCGTACACTTTCATTCAATTTTGTTTTGTCATAATCGCGAACTTAGATCACATGAAAAGTAAAAACACCGGGCAGTATAGTTTAATTGCTTTCATATATCTTGTATCAATCAAACTGTCACTGTCACGAACAAATGTTAATTAAATAGATGTCGGCTGAAATCGGGATACGAAAATGAAAATGGCCCTTCCCCACTTCATGTTTTTTTTTCACTTAAAATCACTAACATGCAAGTCTATTTGTGTGAAATTAGCAAATATGTACTATTTTGCCCTCTCTAAGGTGTATTGAGATACTTGAAAACGTGTACTGTTCTGGGACATTATTTGCCTTCTCCGTTCAAAAACAATTACAACATCTTAACAAATAATTAAACAGCTTTCTCACTCGTCACTCGGTTGTGGCTTGAAATAATTACCAAAACCTTAACCACGAACAAAAATTGCTTCATATTGTATTAATATTTTTCAGAAAAGAAAAAGGTTCCCAAATATCCACTCATTGCTAGCTTCAAATCTTAGGTGAATTTCAAACTCGAAAAAGAACAGAATTCTGCATGGCTCTAGTTGGTGGTATTCAATTCTGTCTCGCTCTAGTTGGTGATATTCAATTCTGCCTATCTCTAGTTGGTGATATTTAATTCTGCCTATCTCTAGTTGGTGATATTTAATTCTGCCTATCTCTAGTTGGTGGTATTCAATTCTGCCTATCTCTAGTTGGTGATATCTCATTCTGCCTCGCTTTAATTGGTGATATTTAATTCTGCCTCACTCTAAATGGTGATATTCAATTCTGCCTGTCTCTAGTTGGTGATATTTAATTCAGCCTCGCTCAAATTGGTGACTTTCAATTCTGACTCGCTCTATATAGTTGGTGATATTCAATTCCGCTTCGCTCAAGTTGGTGATATTCTATTCTGCCTGGCTCTAGTTGGTAATATTCAAATTTTCCTCGTTCTATTTGGTGATATTCAATTCTGCCATGCATTAGTTGGTGATATTTAATTATGCCTGGCTCTAGTTGGTGATATTCAATTCTGCCTGTCTCTAGTTGGTGATATTTAATTCAGCCTCGCTCAAATTGGTGACTTTCAATTCTGACTCGCTCTAGTTGGTTATATTCAATTCCGCCTCGCTCTAGTTGGTGATATTCAATTCTGCCTCGCTCTATATAGTTGGTGATATTCAATTCCGCTTCGCTCAAGTTGGTGATATTCTATTCTGCCTGGCTCTAGTTGGTAATATTCAAATTTTCCTCGTTCTATTTGGTGATATTCAATTCTGCCATGCATTAGTTGGTGATATTTAATTATGCCTGGCTCTAGTTGGTGATATTCAATTCTGCCTGGCTCTAGTTGGTGATATTTTATTCTGCCTCGCTCTAGTTGGTGATATTTAGTCCTGCCTCGCTCTAATGGGTGACTTTCAATCTGACTCGCTCTAGTTGGTGATATTCAATTCTGCCTGACTGTAGTTGGTGATATTCAATTCCGCCTCGCTCTAGTTGATGATATTCAATTCTGCCTCGCTCTAGTTGGTGATATTTAATTCTACTTCGCTCTAGTTGGCGATATTCAATTCTGCCTCGCATTAGATTGTGATATTTAATTCTGCTTCGCTCTAGTTTCTGATATCTAATTCTGCCTGGCTATAGTTGGTGATATCTAATTCTGCCTCGCTCTAGTTGGTGATATTCAATTCTGTCTGGCTCTAGTTAGTGATATTCAATTCTGCCTCGCGTTAGTCGGTGATATTTAATTCTGCCTCGCTCTAGTTGGTGATATCTAATTCTGCCTGGCTGTAGTTTGTAATATTCAATTCTGCCTGGCTGTAGTTGGTGATATTCAATTCCGCCTCGCTCCAGTTGACGATATTCAATTCTGCCTTGCTCTTGTTGGTGATATTCAATTCCGCCTCGCTCTAGTTGGTGATATTCAATTCTGCCTCGCATTAGTTGGTGATATTTAACATTGTCTCGCTCTAGTTGGTGATATTCAATTCTGCCTCGCTCTAGTTGCTGATATTAAATTCTGCCTCGCTCTAGTTAGTGATATTAAATTCTGCCTCGCTCTAATTGTTGATATTCAATTCTGCCTGGCTGTAGTTGGTGATATTCAATTCCGCCTCGCTCTAGTTGATGATATTCAATTCTGCCTTGCTCTTGTTGCTGATATTCAATTCCGCCTCGCTCTAGTTGGTGATATTCAATTCTGCCTCGCTCTAGTTGCTGATAATAAATTCTGCCTCGCTCTAGTTAATGATATTCAATTCTGCCTCGCTCTAGTTGCTGATATTAAATTATGCCTCGCTCTAGTTAGTGATATTAAATTCTGCCTCGCTCTAGTTGGTGATATTCAATTCTGCCTCGCTCTAGTTGGTTATGTTTGATATGCCTCGCTTTAGTTGGTGATATTTAACACTGTCTCGCTCTAGTTGGTGATATTCAAATCTGCCTCGCTCTAGTTGCTGATATTAAATTCTGCCTCGCTCTAATAAATGATATTCAATTCTGCCTCGCTCTAGTCTGTGATATTCAATTCTGCCTTGCTCTAGTTGGTGATATTTAATTCTGCCTAGCTCAAGTTGGTGATATTCAATTCTGCCTCGCTCTAATTGGTGATATTTAATTCTACCTCGCTCTAGTTGGTGATATTCAATTCTGCCTCGCTCTAGTTGGTGATATTCAATTCTGCCTCGCTCTAGTTGGTGATATTTAATTCTGCCTCGCTTTAGTTGGTGATATTTAACACTGTCTCGCTCTTGTTGGTGATATTCAATTCTGCCTCGCTCTAGTTGGTGATATTCAATTCTGCCTGGCTCTAGTTGCTGATATTTAATTCTGCCTCGCTCTAGTTAGTGATATTCAATTCTGCCTCGCTCTAGTTGGTGATATTTAATTTTGCCTTGCTCTTGTTGGTGAGTTTCAATTCTGCCTCGCTCTAGTTGGTGATATTCAATTCTGCCTCGCTCTAGTTGGTGATATTTAATACTGCCTCGCTTTAGTTGGTGATATTTAATTCTGCCTCGCTCTAGTTGGTGATATTTAACACTGTCTCGCTCTAGTTGGTGATATTCAATTCTACCTCGCTCTAGTTGGTGATATTCAATTCTGCCTCGCTCTAGTTGGTGATATTTAACACTCTCTCGCTCTAGTTGGTGATATTCAATTCTGCCTCGCTCTAGTTGGTGATATTTAATTCTGTCTCGCTCTAGTTGGTGATATTTAACACTGTCTCGCTCTAGTTGGTGATATTTAACTCAATTAGGCTTCACGACATTGCTTTTTGTTGGGTTTTTAACACGATATTTAACAACAAGAACGGGATTTGTTTTATTAAATGGCGGTCTCAATTGGCATGTATATGATAAAATTGGAAGATTTATTCTGAAAATAGTGTGACACAACTCATCACGAAATCTCGGATCCACACCTGAAGATGTTAAAAAAACTGTTCAAAAACTGTTCGTGTTGATATTTCAAACTTTTCAGTAAATGTCATATGAATTGCATTTTAATGTCTGCAGTAATCAATATCAGGTTTTTAATTGATGACAATATGTACACAAAACTCGAAAGAAATACACCTTACATACATCTTGCAGAAACATGACTTTTTTACATTATCATCAGCCATCTGTGTTTGATGACTCAATCAATTAATCAATCAATTAATCAATCATGTAATCAATCATATTATCAATCATATAATCATATACTATAATATTTAAATTACTGGCTAAAATATGCTGCAGTTCATGATCACGGATCAGGTTCATTTACAAGATGCACAATTTATCAGACGAGTTCAAAATTAAGAAGGGGAGTGCTGCTTCAGACAGTGATAAATTAGTAAAATACGTACAATGTATATTATATATGCATTTTGCTATTGAACACTATACAACGGGCAGTCGTAATAGGCATTTTCTGAAACAGTTGCACTTTAATAATTAAAACAATAGGAACAAGTCAGGGTTTCTAATGACACAGTGTTCTTGTTCGTAGTATCAGAATAGTCGGTGTATATATGTCCTTGATTTGTTTATTCCATTAGTGTCAGTCTACAGCTAAATCAACCAATATCAGTATGGTAACCGATGTACGGCACAGAAGCTCAAAATAAACACCTTTATTTATGTAACTAATATATCGTGGAAACATAACCATAAAAGTGTTTTTTTATTATACCGATTGATAGATAATTATCTAAAAACTTAAAGTGAAAAGTTAAAATACACAACAAATTGTATTCAACCGTTTGGATCGCGATAATTGAAAGCGGCCTTGTATTAATGTTCTGACCAGGCCAATTATGCCTCTTTGTTTTAATTCAGTTATAGTTGTCTCCCTTGAAAGGAAACCCATATCACAAGTTTAGATTGTTGGTATATAACTAAGCATTTCAGACATGATTCGGCAAAAAACGGAAATAAATGCAACTCTTGAAAGTAAAGGAACAAAATAAAGATGCAAACAATAAGTTACGTCTATAAGTTGAATGTCGTAAAATTACCGGAAGTGATGAATGTAAACACAGTCGTGGCTTATTTCGATTTGGTGGAACATACAACTGTTGAATCAACACAACACGACACTTTCCAGCGACCCACTGCCTGGAGGCAAATAGGAGGATGACTTAGATTTGCCTTAAGTTTACATTTTGTGTTAATTTTGGGGAAAATACTAAAGACTTAGGACACATGGCATCTGGCAGCATCATGGAGTAAGTTGGGGATAGCCAGACATGCAGGCCTGCTAGTCAGGTGTCAGTTGGCCTTCTAAATTTGTATCATGTTCACATTTCTATTCAGACTTCAGTTGTAATTTGATATACATGTATGAGCGCGTACAGTAACGATTTATACTTTAATGTCACTACAGGAAGGCTGTATATCTAATGCATATTCTAGATATCATTTACAATTACTTGTCACCTACATACTGTCATCAACACTGAGTTAGGTCGTCTTAGGTTACTTATAATCAATACTATTGATATAGAGTGTTCGAAATATAACAGCGAAAACTAGTTCATCATAAACCCACAGCTGTCGGCCTTCATATTGCCAAGCAGTACAAAGGGGCAGAGCAGCTACAGAACAATTGGTATCATGTGCATCCCATGTACGCGGTGTACGAGACATGTCAGGTTTTTTTTAAACCCCAACGTAGGAGAAAAATAGAAATTAAGTCATACAGAGTGGTCTGATCATCCTACAAACCATTAGCATCATCATATGTATTACATATTTGGCATATTTTTAATGGTTTTAATGTATTATGTTAAGCTTGTTGTACCAAAAAGGAGCAACTTCTTTACTGCTATATGCAATTAAATGTAAAATATATTGTTACAATAAATAGGATAATCTATATTGATCTGTATGTGCTAGGTCACGTGACCAAATGGTCTCTATGTTGTGCATGTACATGTGCTGTCCATGTCTTGTGCACATGTATCTACATATAATGTACATGCTGTACTAACATGCATATGTGTGACCTTGACATAACCTTTCTATATGTACTTGACCCTATATTTTATTAGCTAAGCTTACTTTGCAATGAAAGTTCATTTCAAACTTCATTCTTGGTCATATTCAATTAAGAGATCTTTGGAAACAGCAGGACATTGCTGATTTTACCTATAGTTTCTTATATATAGCTAAGACTGATCTAGTAGAGATTACTGAGTGACCTGAAAGTATTGGGCCATATGGCAGAGGTCATTTGTATGTGTGACCTCACCCCCTGTAGCCAGAGGTCATTTGTGTTTGTATGTGTGACCTCACCCCCTGTAGCCAGAGGTCATTTGTATTTGTATGTGTGACCTCATCCCATATAGCTGGAGATCATTTGTTTTTATATGTATATACATATATGTGATCTCGACCCATAACCAGAGGTCTTTTTTATCTATATGTGTGACAGTAACCATATCCGTAGGTCATTTGCATTTGTACATTGTATGTGTGTATCATGCAGTTTTAATGCACTAGCATTAATGATGATAATTAAAGCACCTAACCAGATCTAGTCATGTACTCGTTGATGATTGAGGCTTGAATAATCAGCATTTACAGTACCATCAATCCATCAGTCTATACACGTCAGTCTAGATATCTGCTCTGAAATAGGAGTCAATTTGTACATGGATTTTGTTGCGAGGGTTGTATATTGACTCCACAAAATAGAATACCAAGACAACACCTCTGTAGCTTTATTAATAATTAACCCTACCTGGATTCACTGAGGCAGAGCGATCCATTAATCAATGTTGCATTGTCCTGAAAGTATATCAGAATTTGCGTAGTGACTGCAAGCACTGATAGATGTAACAATATGTTTTAATGCTCTATACCCTATTTGCACTTTTCATATCATATACATGTACAAACAATAACACGCATATAATGTACATAGAATTTGTTAAACTGGACCAGTGTTCTCATTAAATGTTGCAATCGGTCGCCAGCAAAAATAGTCTGCTGTTCATAAACTTTGAACTGGCTATTTTTTCAGAATACATAGAGGTAAACATTATAGCATGTGAGTATTCAACTGACTTTTCTCAAAGCTTAGAACACTGCTAAGTTACAGTAGAATAACTTATAACATGGCTGAGTCACCTTAGAATAACTTAGAACATTGGTGAGTTACAGTAGAATAACTTATAACACGGCTGAGTCACCTTAGAATAACTTACAACACTGCTGAGTTACAGTAGAATAACTTATAACACGGCTGAGTCACCTTAGAATAAATTACAACACTGCTGAGTTACAATAGAATAACTTAGAACACTGCTCACTTACTGAGTCACAGTAGAATAACTTAGAACACTGGTGAGTTACAGTAGAATTACTTAGAACACTGGTGAGTTACAGTAGAATAACTTACAGCACTGCTGAGTTACAGTAGAATTATTCTGTTCAGATGTCAGACTAGAAAGTTGGTCTGGATAACGAGTTGAAGTTGTGCCTATATATATAGCTACTAGCAACGATTCAATATTCTAATGATTAAAGTGTAATGCTAGGTCTCACTATCAGTACCATCAATGTAAACAACTGAGGTAGACAGTAATGTTTGGGTGTGTTACAGATGACTTTGGTGAGAAGGACATACAACAAGGATGCCGTTAGAACGCGGCGCGGCCATCCAGCTAGGACTGCTGCTCCTAGCCGTGCCAGCCCAGTACTTTGTCTCCCAGTACTTCTCCGTGTCAGAGTCACAGAGAACTTTTGCCGTCAGGAAGTAATTATATAAATCATTTTTACCTCTTCTATCAAAGACCTAACAAAAATATGTTCAAGTTTAGCAATTTTACTAATGCTTGTAAAATGTTGAAAAAAAGGTAAGAATGGGTTTACAATCTGCACAGGTAGATTTTATGTTACTGTTTGTGTTCCTGCATGATACCTTGATCATGAAGCTGTGAAAGCAACAGTGTCCTCAAATTTGAAGATTCGAGCAGTGTTGGATCAGCACAGTGGAGAGGCTGCTTATCTTTCTCAGAGTGAGCCATTTAATTAAAATGTAAGCAGTTTGATGAACCATATTTCACATTCATGAGGCCCAAAATGGGGTATATTTAACTATTGGACTTGGATAAGTAATTTATAATGGCATGCTGGTTTCAAAGATGTGATTCATTAGGTTGTCTTCACCAAATATTGTTAAACCTATTTATATTTTAATTAATGATGTCATCTATTCTGTTCTCCAACAGCTGTTGTTTTGCTTTCTTTTGTTTTAGTGTTTTTGCTGGTTCTTAAAAATGAGACAATCACAAGTTCAAAAAGTCACTGTTAACTGAACTAAACATAATTTGTATCAGCTTATACACAAACTGAACTTGTGTGAAAATTAACTCCTCCACATGCATATTTCTCTTGTTTTCAGTTTACTCAACAATGCTGTGGGTTTTAAAAATAAGTACCTATCATGGAAGTCATGGCAACAATGGTGCATGGACATAATTGGTGGTCTCCATGAAAACATCCCCCCCTACACTGGCCAGGACAATGTGAATGGGGAGTCGCCGGCGGTGGAGGTCCTCAAGTACAAGGACCCGCTGGGTTATTTTGCAGGTAAGACTTTGCTAGGAAGGTTGATCAAGGCTCTGTTCACTGGAAGACAATTCTGACATTATCTCAACTCTTGGACTCTATTGGTAATTTAAGGAAGATACAAAAGAGTATGATTATACAAAAAGATAAAAAAAAATATCTGTTCAACTACAATATGACACATATTTCTGCAAATACACGAGATTAAGATAAATATCCTTCCTTCACAGGTGACCCAGATCCAAGAAGTCCCCGAGCTCCTAATGTACAATTTCGTGTTGGACAGGTGGTACGACACAAGGTCTGGGGGTACAGAGGGGTGGTAATAGGCTGGGACGCCACAGCCAGAGTAAGGGTATTATACACAAGGTCAGAGGGTACAGAGGGGTGGTAATAGGCTGGGACGACACAGCCAGAGTAAGTGTATTATACACAAGGTCTAAGGGTACAGAGGGTTGGTAATAGGCTGGGATGCCACAGCCAGAGTAAGTTTATTATACACAATGTATGAGGGTACAGAGGGTTGGTAATAGGCTGGGATGCAACAGCCAGAGCAAGTTTATTATACACAATGTCTGAGGGTACAGAGGGTTGGTAATAGGCTGGGATGCCACAGCCAGAGTAACTGTATTATCCAAAAGGTGTGAGGGTCCAGGGGGGTGGTAATAGGCTGGGATGCCACAGCCAGAGGAAGTGTATTATACAAAAGGTGTGAGGGTACAGAGGGGTGGTAATAGGTTGGGACGCCACAGCCAGAGTAAGTGTATTATTCACAAGGTCTGGGGGTACAGAGGGGTGGTAATAGGCTGGGACGACACAGCCAGAGTAAGTGTATTATACACAAGGCCTGAGGGTACAGAGGGGTGGTAATACGCTGGGACGCCACCGCCAGAGTAAGTGTATTATACACAAGGTCTGAGTTTACAGAGGGGTGGTAATAGGCTGGGATGCCCCAGCCAGAGTAAGTGTATTATACAAAAGGTCTGAGGGTACAGAGGGGTGGTAATAGGTTGGGACGCCACAGCCAGAGTAAGTGTATTATTCACAAGGTCTGGGGGTACAGAGGGGTGGTAATAGGCTGGGCCGCCACAGCCAGAGTAAGTGTATTATACACAATGTCTGAGGGTACAGAGGGATGGTAATAGGCTGGGATGCAACAGCCAGAGTAAGTGTATTATACAAAAGGTGTGAGGGTACAGAGGGGCGGTAATAGGATGGGACGCCACAGCCAGAGTAAGTGTATTATGCACACCACAGCCAGAGAAAGTGTATTATACACAAGGTCTGAGGGTACAGAGGAGTGGTAATAGGCTGGGATGCCACAGCCAGAGTAACTGTATTATCCAAAAGGTGTGAGGGTCCAGGGGGGTGGTAATAGGCTGGGATGCCACAGCCAGAGGAAGTGTATTATACAAAAGGTGTGAGGGTACAGAGGGGGGGTAATAGGCTGGGATGCCACAGCCAGAGTAACTGTATTATCCAAAAGGTGTGAGGGTCCAGGGGGGTGGTAATAGGCTGGGATGCCACAGCCAGAGTAAGTGTATTATACACAAGGTCTGAGGGTACAGAGGGTTGGTAATAGGCTGGGATGCAACAGCCAGAGTAAGTTTATTATACACAATGTCTGAGGGTACAGAGGGTTGGTAATAGGCTGGGACGCCACAGCCAGAGTAAGTGTATTATACACAAGGTCTGAGTTTACAGAGGGGTGGTAATAGGCTGGGATGCCACAGCCAGAGTAAGTTTATTATACACAATTTCTGAGGGTACAGAGGGTTGGTAATAGGCTAGGACGCCACAGCCAGAGTAAGTGTATTATGGACACCACAGCCAGAGTAAGTGTATTATACACAAGGTCTGAGGGTACAGAGGGTTGGTAATAGGCTGGGTTTCAACAGCCAGAGTAAGTTTAGTATTCACAATGTCTGAGGGTACAGAGGGGTGGTAATAGGCTTGGAGGCCATAGCCAGAGTTAGTTTAGTATATACAAGATGTCTGTATTCCCGACTGAGTAGATAAATGAGCACATGTTGCATTTCTATTCCAGGCTCCAGAATCCTGGCTACAAGACAACCACGCAGCAGACAAATCAGTAAGTAATACTATACAAACTATACAGCTGATTATGGTAGGGAGACTTAGTTTTGTGTCAAAACATAAAAGGTAAACAGTTAAACTTTAGTGATTGTCAAACTGTGAATCCTTGTTTTAGTATTTCATTTAATGCAGGTATTATTTTGTAGCAGACCAGGTTTGTTTATAGCTGGGTTTTGTTTGAAATTCTTATTTCAGCATTTCATAAGTAGTCTACAATTTGATGTTGCTAAAATAGCCTACGTTACAGTATATATTCATAAATAATGGTAGATTGACAATGTATCAACCTTTTGTACTGTATATTAATTGAGTTGCACTTTTAGAAATGTAATTGGTAGAATTTTGTTTGTTTGGGGTCTTACATCCAGTATTTCTACCCTGCTAAAACAATCCATACTTTGGTAATTACAATAATAAATTGATAAGTTGACAATTTACTCAAATCTTTTGTACTTGCATGTTGAAAATTTTGACATTTTTATGTAGTGTGTTTTAGGAAATATTTGCCATTCAAATACTTGCAGTATTCCCTGTCATGTTAAATTCGCCCTCTTTACAGAGGACAGGAATGGTGAAAGTTGTGGTGAAATCTCCCTATACCCAGTATTTATACATAATCCTGTACACAAATATTTTATTAAACTGGCCTGAATCTGGTTCTGTGTCCCTGTATGAAATGATAAAAGCTTGCTATAGATGAGAACATATGTGTATTACAGCATTGGAGGAAAGTGCCAAACTTTGCCATCCTGGTGGACACGAGAGACAGGATGTCTCCTCAAATGACATATGTACCCCAGGAAAACTTACAAGTTATCACTAATATGAGGGTAGGTACCTTGTATATTATTATCATTATCATGAGGATCTGTACATTGTACCATGTATATTATATCATCAATATGAGGGTCCATACATTGTACCTTGTATATCATATCATCAATATGAGGTTCCGTACATTATACCTTGTATATTATATCATCAATATGAGGTTCCGTACGTTGTACCTTGTATATTATTATCATTATCATGAGGATCTGTACATTGTACCTTGTATATTATATCATCAATATGAGGTTCCGTACATTGTACCTTGTATATTATTATCATTATCATGAGGATCTGTACATTGTACCTTGTATATTATATCATCAATATGAGGGTCCGTACATGGTACTTTGTATATTATATCATATCATCAATATGAGGGTCCATACATTGTACCTTGTATATTATATCATCAATATGAGGGTCCGTACATTGTACCTTGTATATTATATCATCAATATGAGGGTCCGTACATTGTACCTTGTATATTATATCATCAATATGAGGGTCCGTACATTGTACCTTGTATATTATATCATCAATATGAGGGTCCGTACATTGTACCTTGTATATTATATCATCAATATGAGGGTCCGTACATTGTACCTTGTATATTATATCATCAATATGAGGGTCCGTACATTGTACCTTGTATATTATATCATCAATATGAGGGTCCGTACATTGTACCTTGTATATTATATCATCAATATGAGGGTCCGTACATTGTACCTTGTATATTATATCATCAATATGAGGGTCCGTACATTGTACCTTGTATATTATATCATCAATATGAGGGTCCGTACATTGTACCTTGTATATTATATCATCAATATGAGGGTCCGTACATTGTACCTTGTATATTATATCATCAATATGAGGGTCCGTACATTGTACCTTGTATATTATATCATCAATATGAGGGTCCGTACATTGTACCTTGTATATTATATCATCAATATGAGGGTCCGTACATTGTACCTTGTATATTATATCATCAATATGAGGGTCCGTACATTGTACCTTGTATATTATATCATCAATATGAGGGTCCGTACATTGTACCTTGTATATTATATCATCAATATGAGGGTCCGTACATTGTACCTTGTATATTATATCATCAATATGAGGGTCCGTACATTGTACCTTGTATATTATATCATCAATATGAGGGTCCGTACATTGTACCTTGTATATTATATCATCAATATGAGGGTCCGTACATTGTACCTTGTATATTATATCATCAATATGAGGGTCCGTACATTGTACCTTGTATATTATATCATCAATATGAGGGTCCGTACATTGTACCTTGTATATTATATCATCAATATGAGGGTCCGTACATTGTACCTTGTATATTATATCATCAATATGAGGGTCCGTACATTGTACCTTGTATATTATATCATCAATATGAGGGTCCGTACATTGTACCTTGTATATTATATCATCAATATGAGGGTCCGTACATTGTACCTTGTATATTATATCATCAATATGAGGGTCCGTACATTGTACCTTGTATATTATATCATCAATATGAGGGTCCGTCCATTGTACATTACATTGCATCCGTACATTACAAGTAATCACAATGTGTACTTTAACTTAACACTTTTCTGATGAAGGTAGTATCACTCTTTCATATCCAGGACATTTTACAGTATTTTTCTCCTATTGCATTTCTTTTCATTGGAAGTTTCGGTGTTGAAGCATTGATTACCCTCACATCGTTTTTGTCTTATTGTGATTATGTTTATGTATATGTAAGATAAAATATTACCTATAAACTTTTCTTGCCCAGGACTAGTAGAATCTCTCACCTCCTTTCGGTTGAGATAGGGGAATCTCAACCCGAGGGGAAAGATTCTTAAACTGCCAAACAAGTTAAGTTGCTTTCCCTCTATCTCACCCACAAGGGGGTGAATGATTCTTTTTCTCTGACCCTGTTCTCCCATCTGTAAAAAGTGACTTTGTATTTCCAGATAATGCACCCGAGTTTGGACCACTACTTTGAGATGTATGACGGAGCACAATACATTCCTCGTCCCTGGCTTAAGGCCGTCTATCCACATGACTGACTGAATACCAATATTACTGCCCTCACTTACAACCCGTGTTTGTCACCAGATGTATAAAGGGCACATGCAATTTTATTTTCTCAATATATGTTATGAATAAAATGAATGAGTTTGTATAAATACATTGGACTGTAAATCAAGTTTTTGCAAAGCTATATAGTAACATATTTAAACAAAGTGGTTTAAAATTTGGTGTATCTTGTTTTGGTGTTTTATCACCCCTAAGAATGTGTGTACACACTAGTACTATAAACAATGCATTGTGTGTATGTGTGTGTGTTATACAATGTATGTGTATGATATACAATGTAGGGTTTATGCTTCAAAATGTATGGGTGCATACTTATCTATAATATATATGCATACTCAATATAGATGTTTATTAAACAGATGCATTCTCTATTGTATGGGTATCACAAACATTGTAATGTATGAACCATATCATTGTATGTGTATTCTTTACATTGTATGTGTATTCTTTACATTGTATATGTACTCTGTATAGTGTATGTTTACCTTTTACATTGTGTGTGGTATGTGTAACATTTATATTGTATGTGTACTCCATACATTGGATATGTACTCCATACATTGTATGCGTACTCCTGAACATTGCATGTGTACTCTGTACATTGTGTGTGTACTCTGTACATTGTTTGTGTACTCTGTACATTATTGTTATACATTGTATATGTACTCTGTACATTGTGTACACTGTACATTGTTTGTGTATCGTGTACATTGTATGTGTACATTGTTTGTGTACTCTGTACATTGTAGTTGTACCTTGTATATGTACTCTGTACATTGTTTGTGTACACTGTACATTGTTTGTGTACCGTGTACATTGTAGTTGTACATTGTTGTTGTACACTGTACTTTGCAGATGTACCTTGTCAATGTTTGTGTACACTATACATTGTTGTTGGACTCTGTTAATTGTTAGTGTACTCTGTACATTGTAGTTGTACCTTGTATATGTACTCTGTACATTGTTTGTGTACTCTTTACATTGTTTTTGTACATTGTACATTGTATATGTACTCTGTACATTGTTTGTGTACTCTGTACATTGTTATTATACATTGTATGCCGGACATTGTAGGTGTAGCTTATGCATTATTTGTGTACTCTGTACATTGTATGTGTACATTGTACATTGTTTGTGTACTCTGTACATTGTATATGTACTTTGTACATTGTATGTGTACATTGTACATTGTTTGTGTACTCTGTACATTGTGTGTGTACTCTCTACATTGTATGTGCACTCTGTACATTGTATGTGTACTCTGTACATTGTTTCTGTACTCTGTACATTGTATGTGTACTCTGTACATTGTATGTGTACATTATTTGTGTACTCTGTACATTATTTGTGTACTCTGTACATTGTATGTGTACTCTGTACATTGTATGTGTACATTGTTTGTGTACTCTGTACATTGTTTGTGTACTCTGTACATTGTATGTGTACTCTGTACATTGTATATGTACTCTGTACATTGTATGTGTACATTGTACATTGTTTGTGTACTCTGTACATTGTTTTTGTACTCTGTACAGTACATTGTTCACCTGCGCTGTGGTAGGTGTACCATTATATATTATAGTGTTGTTTGTTTTTGTTCCTTCTTTGTGCTTATTATTTATTGCCCCGACAACAATTTATTGATCATGATGAATCTTTGGAAAAAGGCATTTATATTTTTCCCATATTGTTCATACAATGTATCATTATTGCTCATAAAGTGTTGGTTACCAAATAAATATTAAAAGAAAGGATGTTTGCCTTAAATGTTTAAATGGTAAGAAAGGTTTGCTTCAGAATTTAACAGGACCAACCTTTCCCTGTTGCTTTTTTTCCCACTCTGTCATTGCATCACAATGGGTGTGACGGGTATTGTTTTTCTGTCCTGTTGTTTTGTTAGATTTGACTGTTGTGAAACTTAAGACTTTCAGTTATTTTCATTAATTCGGATGTTAACAACTTGAACAATTGATGAGTATTGATTCTCTGCATTACTGCTATGCTTGTACAGGTAACAAGCTGCTGTAGTTTATGTTGACAGTTATTTATATGTACATAGTCGACATGATTCCATCAGATAGTCTTATATACAGTTACATGTAAAATAAGAGGGATTTTGATATGTTTACCTATGAATGTATATTTGACGGGTAAATGTTTTTTCTGCAAAATATTGTATATAAAAAAAAAAAAAGTTTTTTTTGAAAGTTATGTATTCAGAATGGATGTGCAATATGCGTGGAAGATGTCTTTTTATTCCCCTGTAATGATGTCAGGGGGAGTATACTGGAATCAACTTGTCCATTTGTCTGTCCGGCTGTCTGGCCATTGATAAAATTTGTCTGGACAACTCCTTTAAAACTAATAAGAAGAATTCAACAAGTTTCCTGGAGCGATAAATTGGGGATGTGTTTATATCAAATGTCCAACTTTTAAATTTCGGGATTCAAGATGGCCATCAGGGCCTCTGATTGACTGAGACAAAAACAGCTATAACATTAGGATTTAACTTCTTTTTATATTTTCGAAATATAGTGAAACATGCATTTTCCTAGAGTAAGATGGAAAAATATAATCTTATATTACAGTGTGTCTGTAAAATTTAAGTTGAAGACAGAGAAAGCTAATATCATATTAGATATTAGATGATGTCGTTGGAACGAGGAGTCGGTAAAGTCAGGGTTCACTGTAAAAATAAGTGAGATACATGAACTATTGGTGTGAATCGACATTTTACATGGTTGATTTTTTGTCATAATATTGTTGTAAAGTAAGCTTCATATGCTTCCTACAAGTTTTGTTTGGAGGTACAGGATAACACTACTACCTGTAGGAGTTTGTTACAGATATGACCATGTTATACTATAAAATTCTCAAATAAAATTACTGGGAGTACAGGAGCAATAGGTGTCCCGTTGTTTATAACGATAAACAAAATAGAAACAAGGGTTGATCAAGTTGCATAATAATGAAAAGAAAAGGAACAATCGGTGTCCTGTTGTTTATCATGATAGGGAAAACTAGGGGATTCCTATTGTTTATTTAACATTGTTATTATTGTAGCTCCATATATGGTGCGATGACTTACTGTAGCTCCATATATGGTGTGGTGACTTATTGTAGCTCCGTATATGGTGCGGTGACTTATTGTAGCTCCATATATGGTGCGATGACTATTTTTCTCTTTAATCTGTTGAGTTCCCATGTTACATGGTCTGGTACCTTTTGCCAGAATTATTTTATTGATTGAGCGACATAAGTTTGTTTCTTGTTTTCACTAACTCAGTTCGTCAGAGGCATGAGATAGAAAAAAATGTTTAGTTTCTTTTTTTGGCTAAAATATGTAAACCTGTTAAATCTGTTCTTACAGTAACTCTGTTTTCTGCAAAAGATACCAAGACACGAGCCACCCATGCTCTGCCAGCAATAATGAAGTTTCCTCGCACTTTAATGCAAGCATTTTAGTTTTTGTTTCTTCAATGACCTTGGAGAAAGAAAATGGTTTCTTTCTTCATAGAAATGTTTATCTTGTAGATGCGTCAGTCATCCTTAAATATACCAACGTTAAAGGGGCATCACGGTGAAGTAACTTTATTTTTCGTCTTTTTTTCAAATACTACATAAACATATCAAGTGAGACTCCTTATGGAAAATAACGATCGGATTTGTCTGAAATAGATTCATAAAAATGATTAAATCTAAGAAAATCATCGGTATTTCTACCTGTCTGACCAACGTTTTGTTCAGGGATTTCCCTCTACTAGCGCATGCGCATAGCACACAATTTCTTTGTAAACAAAATGACTGGCCGTGTGAAGTAAGCGAAAGAAAAGTGTTGTACCGTGTCAGCTACGAAACGAAAAGTTGCCAAATGGTCAAAAGATAGCGCAAGGAGTACGTTACGGAATCATTAATGCAGGTGGGCAGTATTCAAACGAGAATATAACTGCCGTAGCAGTTAGTGCGGTGCATGTATTCTTCCGGATAGCCGGTTAAGCTGAAATGGAATCGACAGAAATGCTAGCCCTGTTTATGTTATGAATAATATCTAAAACTATTAAGCTCGCTAGTATCTTTGTCTGAGTTTGAACACAGTTGAACTTGGTTTAATATGTTAATGGGCATGTATTGGAGAGAGTTTACTTTGTGTTTCTATAATTAAACAGTGGTTTATGCGAAAGGAAGGGATAAGTGACTGGTTAGTTTGATTTTTCCATGAGGCCCTCCAAGGGATAACTGTTGTGATGGCCCACTGCGTATTTTCTGGGTCACCGAGATACATAATTTATAATATTTACCGGGTTCAATAAAATGGTATGATTTAATTATATTGCTGAATTAAACGATTATTTTTTGTTTTTACATGCACGATTTAAATTAGTACTAATATGAATACCCGGCCTCCTTTGCCCCGGCAATATATAAAAAAAAAATCAGAAAGGTTTGTCCCTTGGTGTAGGCAGGGATGTCTATTTTTAGCTGGGCTTTCCCGAACAATTCAAGTGGTCAAACTGGACATTTGGAACGGACTATGAATATGGGGATAGCGAGGTAACATAAGTGGAAGTGCATACAATACATACATTCATTAAAAAAAACGCCTTTTCACGTGAAGCAATAGTGTTTGCAGACAAAGATTAGGGTAAGAGGTGCTTTGTCTACTAACACAACGACGTTGCAATTCGTAGAGTGTGATTTGGAATCAAGAGTCTGACATGGGCTGCTAGTTTTGTCTTCAGTTTGTAGTTCAAGCTACTTATACTTTTTGAATGACGGACATGAGGGATTCAACACACCCTGAAAGTTAATTTAAGTCGGCATGCTCTCGTTTCGCCAATTCTTTGGCGTAGTTTTCTCTAGCCAATCCTTATCTTTTAATTCCTATTTCAATTGATAGTAGGAATCTCGATACTTTCGACTATTCATGAAAAGCTTTAGTAGCTTTGCATTTTGATCGCCAGTTACTAAGTATGCAGCTGGACCATACACACAGGCTTAAAGTCGGATATGTGCCACTTGATCAATAATGTCAAATTTGTTTCCAAATGTCATCCGGAGCACCAACATTTTATTTTGTTCAAACGATATGTTTGGATGTTTCCCAAAATGGCACGATTAAGTGTTCATACTCTAGGTCTCTTTGAATCATGAAATTCGTACTCTTTATCTTCTGTCGACATTTTATTTTAAATAAAAAGGAATAACAAGACTCTGTCAATAAGAAAATGTATAAATATTTATCTATGACAGCTAATTCTCACCACTGGCACCAGTTATGTAACGATTACCTGGATTCCTTATCTGGTAAATACGGGATAAGATATGTCCAATAGTCACCTTATTTCTCAATAAAAAAACTAGTGAGCTGACGCAAGTTGAACTTTATACAGCTATTATAATTAGTAATAATACGCATGTGCCCTACTTGGAGCACGAACCGAAATAATATATAATTGAAATTGACTCGTGTTTCACGGTCCGACAAAGCTGTACGACTAAAATGCAACCACTTGCATTAGTAATCGTGACCAGCCACAATATAGGAGGGAACAGTACAATGTCCACTGAATAGACAATCTAAAGTACAACCGTTAAGACATCATTTTGTGCAAGAATCAACTTATGTATTTCCTGTTGTCAAGTGTAATGAGGAAACATCCGCCTGTTGTACTCTGTGTGTACAGAAGGCGTGTTTCTATATACATTGAGCATTGTTAATGAATGACAGTCATTAGCTTATATTTATATTTATATTTGCGCTCCAACGCACTATATAAACATTACCAGCAGAAATGCATTTCATTTGAGTATGAAAGCTTACTCTCGTGACATAACACGTGGTTTACTTATGACGTCGTAAATTAACCTTGTTCAATGAGTCTTGTCGCTTCGCTTCGGATAAAATGAAAAATGCCCCAGCGTCAAACGCTCAAATGACTACGGTCAAATATGGGCACCAAATTTATTTAAATAGGGCTGTTCCGCCAATGTCGTCTAAAGGACGACTCATTTACAAAACGCAGTAAATAAATAAATAATTTAAGAACAAACGAATAAGATTAAACAATTGTTCTATAGTAAAAATGTAAATATAAGGATTGAACGGCGTTTTTTTTTTTTTTTAAATCATGTCCATATGAACGCAAATTAATTACCTCCATATTAAATATGAAGCCCTAACCTAGCGGGCTTCATGCAATATGGATGTAACCGATTTGCGTTCATACCGGCATGAAAATAATAATAATAAAACCCGTTCAATCTCTATTTGCTGCCTGAAGGACATGAATCATATCCAGTCTCAGTTATTTGTATTATTTCATTGAGATACTACTGAAAATAAGAGTGGAGTGGGCGTGCAGTTTGCAGGTGAAGTATTTTTATAGCTGGTATTTTATATATATTTTTGATAGTGTATTGGCATTCTTGTACTGTTCTATTGTTTTCGGAGTATTACTTTTGTATTTTATTTCTTATTTTGACACGTATATTCAAACCTGTCATAATTTAACCAAACATCGACCTGATTTATATAAAAACTAGCTGATAATTTCGATATATGTAAAGGTAAAATATTATGAAGCAATATCATAGGGAATGACCTAGTGCCCGATGATGCAAGTGAAAGGTCTAAGTCTTAGAAATCTAATTTTACATGACAATAAGTTAACAAATTGATATAAACAAAGTTGACGTTACATAGACAAATCTCGGAAAACTAGGCAAAGGAACATTCTTCTGTTATAAATTAACATGACTTCTGGCATCTACTGTTTACATAGTAGATTTACCTTATTTATATTTTTCTTTATAATAATACCACAAAATGCATATTGAAAAGTCAACAGCGACACAACTACAATAATAAAAATAAGAGACCATGCTTGTATAATATATGTAACATTTAATTTAGACAAATCATAGTTTATTTGATATATAAGATATAATACATTGACTGATTGAGCATGACACAATGCTGGAATCCTTATTTATTTTACAACAATTATGAAACAAGTTGTTTCAACTTATATTAATCACTCTTGTTGACCCGGATGTTAGCGCGCAGGGGGTCTTATTGTGGGAGGAAACCGGAGGATGACCCCATACATTTTCGAAGCATAAGAGGAATCGTCAGTGGTACCATGTACTATAAGGCAACATCAAGATGACCTCAGAATAACCTCAAAATGCATGAGAACTCCCCCCTCCCATATTTTATAGTTGGATACCAGAAGGCTCACCATCTTGGAGGTAGAAATCCAACACCGGTCTCACCCCGTGATTTACCAGTATTGGCCACTTCCAAATGAACTAATTCATATTCTCCTTGGAATAATGGGTGTATTTTGAGGAAATCATTTGGATAATATTTTATTAATCTAAAAAATTGTGAAAAACAAATAAGAGGGATAACTGAAATGGGGTTTCGTCGTTGATTACCCAAATGGTTGATTTGATTTCATTGTGAATATACAGATTCATATCACAACGTCCGTGGTTTTCTCCCCAATTGGGAAATAATTTGGCGATGGTACTTTTACAGTAGCTCAGAAGCAGGACGGATTTTAGTTATTTCCAAACTTGTATGAACGTTTACCGTTAACATGGTAAAGTGAACGAGGAATATTTTGAGGATGTTGAACAGTATTTATTACACATATACACTGCTCAATGACTGATTTGCGACAAGCCTTGTATGCAATGTTTAAATAGAAACTATGTATCAGCCGTGTTGTTTTATGAAGTGTACGTCCAGCGTATTATCAGTAATGATTTCGCAATACTACCAAAAACGACTGCGGGAGTTAAAGTACAGCAACACCACGTCCTAACCATGCGTTATATAAAAGCACAGGTACCAATTAAGTGGACTTAATCCGATACGACTTTGCTTCGATATCATCATTGTTGTTTAGAAGACTTTGGTAATGGGATGTTGGATGCTGTTTGAATGCCACAGCCGCCGTTTAAATTAGTTCTGGTACTCGAAAAATTGTTAATCAGATATCATCAGCGGCGTTTAGTTGACTTCCGGTAACCGGATATGATAGCGTTGATTGCGAGGTTCGGGCAGCACTTCCTACACATGATCTCCAGTCCATCCTCCGTTTCTAAGATCCGAGTCTTTAAGGACTGAGCTGCCTCAACCAGGCTCGGGTACACCAGGCCGTGCAGTCGTAAGTTGGCGTTGTAGGGGTCACTTCGTAAGGCCGTGGCGACATCAGCCTTTCAGAACAAACATAGTTATCAAAGACCAAAGTTCACATAGGTATGTAACGGCCAACACATTCACATAAATGAAACTAGTATACAAAGTGTATACTCTATGTAAAATAACAAGAGACCCATAAGGCTCATCTGTTGTTCAACTGTTCTTTGTTGTTGTGACATAGTAAATTCAACTATTAATTCACAGACAATGTAATGATTGGGATTGACCTAAATATAGCCGTTAACATGAAAGACACAATTTAGCACCCTATGACCATTCAATCAATGAAAAAAATATGAATTATTATTGCATATCTGAGTCTGAAGAAGATTGTTAAAATTTTAGCCAAATTGACCCATTTCGGTCCCGCCCCCCAGACGTCCAAGGGTTATCCTTATTAATTACCATTGCTTACTTGAAAGCTTCTTGCAAACTTATTGAAATTGATTAATTGGTTTTCGAGTCATAATGTGAATGTTTACTGATGGACGACGGTCGACGGACGGAGACGGACTAAAGACAATCGCAGAAGGTCCCATGATTCGTGTCTTCGATACAACAAAACTATATGGGATAACCATGGAAACCGTACCTATACATTTTCCAATTTTTCTAAAAACGAAATACTAGCTAATCATGCCGGTGTCTTCTAATTTTCCCGTATACAAACTAGCGATAAGGATACGGACCTGCCACGTTCGCAATGGATTCAAAATCATCGCAGGCATCCTTATTGACAAGGTTTTATTGCTGGCTCTTCTAGTTCCTCAACCAAGTCACTACCGATCCTAGTACCATTAAATCAGGGTAACAGTCGTATTATTACACTGTAAACCCAAGAAGTGGAATAAATGGAATACATGTACTAATATTGCTTTTGAAGAATTGAGAGGTGTCTAGATCAGTTTTGAACATGCTCTCTTCAAAAATGTTTCTTCCATAAAGAGATGCATTTTTGCCTGTTAACACTAATATCACTCACACCAAACTGAAGGAACGCCTAGCTTCATTCTCTTATTATGAGAACTTGTATTCCATGAAAGGCAAACGGCAACATACATTTATTGTTGAACAAAGCTTATCTCGTCGATGTGCTGTCGAATTAACAAGAAAGTTATTGACAACGGCGATCATATATACCCTTAATTCTGCTCTTGAAATCAAGGACACTTGAGACTCATCAGCTTCAGCCGTTTTCCTTGATCTTTACTTACTACTATATTGTATGAGGGTCGCTTTCTCGATTTCTTGATCGTGAAATATCCTTAACACTATAGTAATATCCCTGCATCCCCAGCCTACAGTGTTTACATTTCTCATTTCGGTGTTCACATCATGGCTTCTTTGATAGATGTCGAATGCTGACTGAAAACATTACAACAAAGAGTTTCCGACAAGGCAGGATGATGAAGATTATGAACAAGTTTTATGCTCTTCAAACTCGTTTGGTGGGTGAGGGTTAGTGCTCGGACTAACGGCCAATGATTGACCTTTACAAATGTGGGTAATATGTCTCCTTTCAATATGTTACATACTTTTATCTAACATATGGTTTAAGCCACGATTTGTTCGCATTCGTTTCTCACCTCAATAGCGATATGAAACAATGAGCCTCCTGACGTCACAGAAACAACGAAACACCCGGGAAAGGTCTGGCTCATCCTACAGGAAACAATTCACATGGTAAATAGCAACGCGTGCTTGCTAATATTCAGTTTGATAGATATTTAATACATATACATATATCGTAATTTAACACACCGCGACAGTAAAGAGGAACACACACAACCACGGTGAGAGATCGAACGTTTAATGGCGGAAAAAGGAAGAGCAGCATATGCGTGTAACACACAAAACGGAGCCCGGTCCGGGATCTCCGGAACCATAATAATTAACATACATTACACTGGCGCTACCCCCTTTTTCTTTGTAAATGACTTATGGCGAAGTTATTATGAATGATAAGGAAACATTAACCGCAAAGTTGCAAACAACTATAAATGAACGTGACTAAAGTATGGTGACACAACAGTTCTATATGACTCACAGATCGTTTGATCAAAATATAAACTAACACTAGTAACCGTCAACTTGTAAGAGTAAATGGTTTTTTAAACATTGTCATGATTCACAATAAATTGTTAAACACTAGCCACACAATTAATAACATATGTTATTTGACCAATATGAATGTGGGTAAAATGAATTCATGATCCAACACTGAGTAGGGAAAGTTCTACTAATACAGCTCATAGTCTTTGCATTTTTGGGGCAACTGACGATCACGTTTAGGACGTGTGTCACACGAGGGTGATGTTGGGGAAACAGTCAAAGTGTTCGAATCAGTTTCTGTACTAGTGGGAAGGTCTGAAGAACTACATGGGGGCTCAGAAATTTCCGACGGTATTTCAGGCAGGGAAGGAGGTATAATGTCAGCGGATATTGGTACATTATTGGAGAAATCATGTTGTCCAACTAGAGGGCCAACGTGCACATTGTCATCATCGTCCGAGTGTACGTCGCTTTGCACAAACCGGGGAGGGCCTTGCGAATCCGATATTTGCGAAGGACTCTCTACTTTAAAGCAATCTGAAGTCTTCACACGGTACGATGACTAACGAAATTGACAGCCAACAAACTTTTGGTTATTACACCATTGGCCTTCAACGCTTACCACTAAGTATCTGTCGCGGGCACAGGATTTGTTCCTATCGGAGAACAAATATACAAGATCACCTCGGTTTAGCCGAGGAGGGATTGCTTGTCGACGCGATGGGGTTTTGCTTATCTCACTGTAAAGAATTATTCTTGTTTCTGTCGTCGTGTTGTTGCATAAGGAGTGACTGATAGTCTACAGGTATCTGTCGGTTGTAGAATTGGTCTCACTCGAAAAGCATTTCACGAGCAGACAGACCGCGTTTCCTAATACGAGTGTTGAGTCGTGCTGTAGCAAGGGAGAGAATGATGGGGGTAACGGCACGGCACAGTGGATTCTGGCGAAGTATTTCTGTTTCCAACTCCTGGATGGCCTTTTCAGCCACAGGGTTTTTATTAACGTTTTTAGCGCGTCTGACATATACTTGGCTGGGTTCCATCGTTTACAAGGGATTTGAATCCTGGTGCTGGGTCCGTGCGAATAACAGCCATAGGGCCATCGAGTGGATGAAGGTTGACGCACAATTGCAGTAAGCCATCGCGAAGGGATTGATGTTTTTCGTCCTCAATCAGCATGGTGCTGGTATAGGATGGCACGCACTCCCTGACGACCAGAATAAGTTGGCGCTGGCGCTTTATGACATCCGCAGCAAACTGGGTACCCACAGAGGCTGGCTGATCCCCACAGCTTTGTTTCTGAAGAAACTTAGGTGCGTTGCACAGGGCGGCACACTGGTAGCAACCATCGGTGGTGCGTTTGATTGCGGACTCTAGGTCAAGTGCGTAAAAATAGCGTTGGACGACGCACCTGAGCTGGTGGTTTGAAGGATGGTCAAGTTTTAGATGTAAGGCTGTCAACAGACCATCGAGGACCTGTCTGGGAATAATAATGCAGTCAGTTGAACTGGCAAACAGTGCGTCACGTTTGACGACAAGGAGGCCGTCCCTAGAAAGGGAAGCAACGTTTAGGTAACGTTTGACATCCTTGACCGTAGTTTGTTTCTTGAAGGGCCGGGTGCCCTGACACAGATGCGCGTGTGTTCTGTGAAGGTCTGTACAATCGGAGTGTATAGACAACCATGCAGACCGACTAGTGTACGGCAACTTGGACGATCCTGCTAGGATGTCATCAACGGACACTTGACGCACAACGCTAGCGAAAAACTTGTTGACGAATGAGCAAATTTGACATGTAGGCTCATTGTACACGGGGGAGTTGCGGCTCGCGAAGTCGGATGGAAGTATAGCAGAGCCTGACACGTGTCGTAGCGACACTTGGAATAGGCTCGCTGTGGACAGGAGGGCTAGCAGAAAATTAGATCGGTAGATGTGGGGAGAGTAATGGTGTGGGTAGAAGATAACGCCTTCTGGGCATTTGTAAAGTCATGGAGGAGTTCGTCGGTCCATTGGATGGTCTCCTTTGATTCGCGTCCACCTGCGACAACACTATCAAGCGGAGAGAGGAGTGATGAACAGTCTTGCATGACTCTCGCAAGTACTTTGTATGCTCTGATGAACGCTCGTAAACCGTAAACGGTGTTTGGTGGTGGTGGTGGTGGTGGTGGGGGCGGGGGGACTTGCGCTGATTGTACCTAGTCGCCATATCCACCCCAATATGGTATTTTCCTTTGGATAACTGTCTTTGGAGCGGAGAGGTTCAAGCTACATTTCTGTTAGGTCTGAAGGACGGATTTAAAGTTTTGTAGTAGTTCTTCAAAAGTCTGGCCACCGCAGTACAAGTCGTCGGCAAGTTTCGCTATGCATCCAGCTTCTACCAGGTCTCCGAGGACACGGCAAGTTAATTCCTCTAGCGCAGTTTCTGAGCCTGGCATACCCATCGCGGTACGGGCATACACCCGGGTGCCTTTAAAGGGGGTTACAACACCGCAGTACTTCATGGATTCCTTAGCAAGGGGAATCAGATAAAAAGCCTTTGTGAGGTCAGTGGCAATCAGATATTTTCATTGGGCAACTTGACGGAGGGTTGAGTCTATATCAGGCATCAGCGATGGCTGGGGCTTACTGTATCGCCCTACGTCAGCAAATGCTGTGACTAGTCGAAAACCTCCGTTGGGCTTTTTGACAAGGAATGATGGGTTCACGTATTCGACAGATATGCCAATGTCCTCTGGTCGACGAAACACATCTACAGACTCAAGTTCATCAACTTTGGCTTGGAGCTCTGAAAGTTGGTTCCTCGAATATTGAGTAAGCGGCCTTTGCGCTGAGGGGGTTGAACTGGACCCATGTTAACCTTGGCTTTGACGGGACCTACAGCGCCATTGTAACCTGTGAATTCTGGGTTGAACACTTCGTCAAACTCTGATAGTAGACTCTGGAACTCAGCCTTGATATTGGTCGGCATGAGTTCATCGGGGTCAAGGTTGACCCTATCACTGTAGTGAGACAGGTTGGTAGTTTTGGCCTTCTGGGGTTCAGTGTGCGTGGTAGGGGTAACTGTGATATCCTCTAGGTAAGTTGTGGCTCTTACTTTGCAGAAATGTTCATTTCGTTTCAAGGTCTGTGGTTCTCCAGTGAGATTTGGTATCCTGATTTTTCCCTGTAACACTAGTGAGGACTAAGGGAACAGCGAGAGGCGATGAGTCGTGTGGGTCTATGCTAATGTCACCATCCGATGTGGCGAGGTCAGCTGGCAGGGCTACTTCAATATAATCTCCTGGCCACAGTGTGGTGAGGGCAGGGGCACGTAGAACATGGGCCCTCCTCACTGCATGTCTGTCCATAGTAGTCTCTGTGGATCCGTACTCATACAGGTTATGATCCCCGAGTAACACTTGGCGTTTTTGTTGGACGTATGGATATATCGTTGCGTTCAATGAAAGGGATACCGGCAAGAACATCAGTGTCTAGATTTTCCACGACAAGTCCTTCGAAATATAAGTCGTGGTTGTCACGGGACACCACCATACGTGTTTCGCCTAAGACGTTCAAAGGCGATGACCCATCGGCTTGGTGAGCAGATTGATTGCTGTGGGCAATTTTGACACCCAATCTTACCGCACATGATGCACGAATCATGTTTCCAGTGGCCCCACTGTCGATGGTGAGGCGTAAGGGCATATGACCTTGAAACACGTCCAAGTACGGGGATTGGCGGATACATACGCGGTTGATAATAGTTTCTGTCTGTAATACCTCATCTCCTTCTGGATCAGCCATATCGTCAGCATATCCCTCCAGTTCACCGGAAACTTGTCGAGCTCTTGCGAAGAATTTTTTTCTTGTGTGGGAAGGAAGCTACATTTACTAAGGAAGTGATTGTTAGGCCTTCCCGCTTCCTTGCACAACGGACAAGACTTCTGGGGTCTGGACCGCTGATCTCGCTGATCTCGCGACGCGACATGAGCATGTGGTGTATACGGCAATGTACCTCGCAACAGACCAGACACGGCGGCTCTCATTGAGCGGGCATTCTCGGACGATTGGACCTCCTCCAACAGCGAATCGAGTGCTTGTGATACCACCGGCTTAATGGAAGCGAGTGTACGTGACCGCAGTTCTGTACCATACCTTTGCTTGATGAGTTTGGGTAGGTCTGAATTTATTAATTGTAGCCACCGCAATACGACATAATTTTCTAAAGAGGGCGATAGTTCTTCATCTTCTGTGATTTGGTCACCATGATGTATAATGCCAGAGTCTTGTGTGAGGAGGTTGTCTTCCACGAAGGCTATTAATCGTTGGTAGAGGTCCTCCGGACGTTCGCCCACCTCCAACTTAATGGCCGCAAAATCGATCAGATGTGCTCCAGTTGACTGGAACCCATAATGTTGACGTATGGTCTGCCAGATTTGGCTAAGTGAGGTGGAGGATTTAACGATCGTGTTGCGCGCTATCACCGGACAGAAATTGGCGATCTGCCCTAGCATTAACTCCAATAGCGCCAGTTTCTGCACTTGAGTTTTACGGCGAGCATCGTCAGCTACCATGCCCCTAAATTCGTCATTTCTTGGTTTTTTTTAAGCACGAGAATCGCTCACCCAAGAACTCATTAAAGTTATTGTCCAGTGACAATGTGTACATTAAGTTCTGTTGCCAATTGTCAAATGAGTTTACAGTTTCAATTTTCGCCAAACACCATTGTTTTGGCGCACGTGGTGTTGCCATCTTCGAAAGTTGTCAAGTGTTTACAACGAAAGTTTACTCACGGCGTGTAACACACAAAATGGAGCCCGGTCCGGGATCTCCAATACCATAATAACTAACATACATTACACTGGCGCCGGATCATAAACAAGTTTACCAGGCATTGTGTCCGCGGCGTTTTGATGGATATCTTTATAATAACTTTATGATAAACGTCGCATATAGCAATTATGTAACTATGACTACAGACAACGTAACCTTTCGCTTGAATATAGATTAAATATGTAATTACCTGACAAGGTAAGTGCCACTGCTGTGATCGAGTATGAGAGAGTCGGCTGTGTCCCGTGTCATATCTCCAGCGAACCAACTACAACATACATCCGTATGGGGTTTTCCCGGTGTGAATGTTAACATGTTGTGGATAAATAATTATATCATGATCATCACTTGTAACAATAGCTCATTTATACATTTTGTAGCACTTATTTCCCACTGATAAAGGCACAAAAATGAGCTTTTAATGAAAACTTTTATTGTGTATATATATTATTTTAGAGATGACATACAAATGTACATACCTCACTGTCTCCTTGCGAATTTTATTGGTGAATACGGACGACTTTTGTACGATGTTATGAATCTGGAATGTATTGAGTTGTATCAATTCGCTATTTTTATTTTGATCTGCTTTTGCAATTAATCACATATATATATACTATCTACTCCTATGGCAGATATACAATGTGCATAATATGTTACAATGCTCATTTATAAATTCCTTACCGATTCCTGACCTGATATTCTGCCAGCGTTTTATAAGACATTCTGTTTTTATATTAAAGCGGCTTGTTTATCGAGACTCCGCTGTATACGTTCACTAGATTAGGATGATACTTATCCACTAACCTGTTCACATCCACCAGATCAGAATGATACTTATCCACTAACCTGTTCACGTCCACCAGATCAGGATGATTCTTATCCGCTAACCTGTTCACGTCCACAAGATCAGGATGATAATTATCCACTAACCTGTTCACGTCAACTAGATCAGGATGATACTTATCCACTAACCTGTTCACGTCCACAAGAACAGGATGATAATTATCCACTAACCTGTTCACGTCAACTAGATCAGGATGATACTTATCCACTAACCTGTTCACGTCCACTAGATCAGGATGATACTTATCCACTAACCTGTTCACGTCCACTAGATCAGGATGATACTTATCCACTAACCTGTTCACGTCCACTGGATCAGGATGATACTTATCCACTAACCTGTTCACGTCCACTGGATCAGGATGATACTTATCCACTAACCTGTTCACGTCCACTAGATCAGGATGATACTTATCCACTAACCTGTTCACGTCCACTGGATCAGGATGATACTTATCCACTAACCTGTTCACGTCCACTGGATCAGGATGATACTTATCCACTAACCTGTTCACGTCCACTAGATCAGGATGATACTTATCCACTAACCTGTTCACGTCCACTGGATCAGGATGATACTTATCCACTAACCTGTTCACGTCCACTGGATCAGGATGATACTTATCCACTAACCTGTTCACGTCCACTAGATCAGGATGATACTTATCCACTAACCTGTTCACGTCCACTGGATCAGGATGATACTTATCCACTAACCTGTTCACGTCCACTGGATCAGGATGATACTTATCCACTAACCTGTTCACGTCCACTAGATCAGGATGATACTTATCCACTAACCTGTTCACGTCCACTGGATCAGGATGATACTTATCCACTAACCTGTTCACGTCCACTAGATCAGGATGATACTTATCCACTAACCTGTTCACGTCCACTAGATCAGGATGATACTTATCCACTAACCTGTTCACGTCCACTGGATCAGGATGATACTTATCCACTAACCTGTTCACGTCCACTGGATCAGGATGATACTTATCCACTAACCTGTTCACGTCCACTAGATCAGGATGATACTTATCCACTAACCTGTTCACGTCCACTGGATCAGGATGATACTTATCCACTAACCTGTTCACGTCCACTGGATCAGGATGATACTTATCCACTAACCTGTTCACGTCCACTAGATCAGGATGATACTTATCCACTAACCTGTTCACGTCCACTGGATCAGGATGATACTTATCCACTAACCTGTTCACGTCCACTGGATCAGGATGATACTTATCCACTAACCTGTTCACGTCCACTAGATCAGGATGATACTTATCCACTAACCTGTTCACGTCCACTGGATCAGGATGATACTTATCCACTAACCTGTTCACGTCCACTGGATCAGGATGATACTTATCCACTAACCTGTTCACGTCCACTAGATCAGGATGATACTTATCCACTAACCTGTTCACGTCCACTGGATCAGGATGATACTTATCCACTAACCTGTTCACGTCCACTGGATCAGGATGATACTTATCCACTAACCTGTTCACGTCCACTAGATCAGGATGATACTTATCCACTAACCTGTTCACGTCCACTGGATCAGGATGATACTTATCCACTAACCTGTTCACGTCCACTGGATCAGGATGATACTTATCCACTAACCTGTTCACGTCCACTAGATCAGGATGATACTTATCCACTAACCTGTTCACGTCCACTGGATCAGGATGATAATTATCCGCTAACCTGTTCACGTCCACTGGATCAGAATGATACTTATCCACTAACCTATTCACGTCCACCAGATCAGGATGATAATTATCCACCAACCTGTTCACGTCCACTGGATCAGAATGATACTTATCCACTAACCTGTTCACGTCCACTGGATCAGGATGATACTTATCCACTAACCTGTTCACGTCCACTGGATCAGGATGATACTTATCCACTAACCTGTTCACGTCCACTGGATCAGGATGATACTTACCCACTAATCTGTTCACGTCCACTGGATCAGGATGATACTTATCCACTAACCTGTTCACGTCCACTAGATCAGGATGATACTTATCCATTTACCTGTTTCACCATAATACAGTTGTTCCTCCTTATCGGGCCGAAATACTGGACTAAGCGTGCGAAGTTGGAGTACTCAACTCTTGCGGTGACATCTAATATGGAAATAGCACATGTGTAAAGGTTAATGAAGTGTACGTTGTGAAAGACCTTCGTTCACTTGAAAATTATCGTTTTTACAAGCCATATGACTGTAGAATTATCATTTAATAAATGATGCTTGAAAAGCCATGGAAACAAAGGCAGTACTTAGTCCGATATACTGAAATTCCATTCTTTTTTAATGTAACGTAGGAGCCGTTTGGGCATACCTATGTGGTCTACCCGTAAGAGCCGTTTGAGCAATGCTGTTGTCTTTTCATCCTTAAGACAGGGGTCTCTGGCATAATCGTCCAATGCAGTCAGGAAATGAGCCATATACTTTCAGGTGGACAACATAAAGAAAAATGAAGTATGTTTTCAGGCATAGTAACTTCTGGAGTTTATTCTGGAGTTTTATGCTTTTTTTGTAAGACGTACGCTGTTAAAGCAAAACCCTGTTGTCATTCAACCAATTCCATTTTATTGTGAAAGCGTTCCGCTGTTAGTATTTAAGCAAGTCAATTTCATTGATCAAGTTTTTCACTATTATTGTCCAAGCATTTAGCTGTAATGGTATATGTTTTAACTCAGTGTGAATTGTCTCAACACTTTAATTTAAAGCATTCAAATGATTCTTTTTATAACTCTTGTGAAATGAGAACTGCAGTAAAATTTCGGATTTTAATGAAAATATCAATAAACCTGTACATATAATAATCTTCGAGTTAGTTATTTTGCATTGTTTTAAATAATACTCTGAGTAAATGATTCGGGAGACATTATACATAGTTGAGAGAAGGGTAAAAAAAATAACAATGACTGTTTTCTTTAAAGCCATCGACAATTATGAGTTGTTCAGGTATAAGTGTGCATATAAAAATGATTAAGATATATTAAGACATCGATATCATGACGAAGCTAAGAATCGCTACAGTAAGAAGGAGAAAGAGAAAACAATTAGATAGCCATCAATGATTCCTGTTCATTAGCGGTAGTTATTCAGTCATCATTTCACGTGGCAAAGCTCTCACTGTAGACTTGTCGCTGTCAGGTCGGTGCCAGAGCTTGCTATCAATCCGACAATATCGATATCATGATAGTTACACTATATAATCTACCCTTGCAACTACAAGTCTTAAACAGTGATTTTATGTAATCAACAACATAATACCTCGGAGTAACATTAAATAGAGATGGAGAGTGGGCAGCACATATCCATGACATAATTCACAAATACATTGCAATCATTACGAAAACTAAAACTTATACTAAGGAGAAATAATCTTGATTAAATTTACCTGACACATAGCTGTCCACTTTTTGAATGTACTTTTGGTATGGCATAATGATAGGGAGTATAATTTGTTAAAATTTGGGGAAAAAATAGAATCTGCTCGGATTGATAACACACCGAAACGGGCTGGAAACCGTTATGTATATAAGGAGAGATCCTTACACAATAAAATAATGATGTTGGTCCCGAATACTTTTGCCAACGTACACTATTAATTATTCAAAACTTTTCTCGATATAATGTGAGGCTGCACACAATTAAGAATAATTATGAGAAACATTTTTTTTCTAGCAGCTATTAAAACATGGAATTATCTTGAAACTATAAAATCATCTGAAACTTTCAACATTTTCTCAAATATTGAATAAACAGAATTATTAATAAAAAAGAAATAGAATTTTCAAACAGTTCTTTTTAATTGGATAAAGTAAATCTACTATTAACGTGTCGTTTAGGAGATCGCGTGAGCTCTATTAACGATGATCTAGGTTCTTACTGCATACTTCTCACCTCTCACAATGGAAAAGTGTAGGCAATAAATCACTTGCTACCACAGTCCACTGCACACATAATCCCCTTTCAAGGCCAATCATGATTACATGACCATGAAAGGGTGGACAGTGGACTGTGGTCACAAATGCTGTAAGAAAGGGGAGATAATCAATCAGTAAAACAATACAGGGGAAAGGATAAACTTATATAATTAGTTGACAAATTTAAAATAAGAAAAAAAGAAAAGGTTAAAAATGGTAATTCTTGATTGATAAACAAACAAAAAGATTTCCTTATCACGTGAGAGGATAAGCATTTCCTGGAAAAGTTTATAATCTTTAGAAGCTGTTCCTTTATACAAAATTGCACATTCAAATATACCATTTATTGAAAGAACTGGAATTCCTTAGGGATTGTTAAACCCTTATATTGTATGTATGAAAATGGTTTCAATATCCTGTACCTTTGCCACATCTTGAAAATTAAACTGAAAATGTAGTCAGAAATTCAACATTGTTTCCCGTATTTTGTTCCTATTGTTGAACAGACACTCCTTACCTTCCCTGACACTGGAGCTGGATATAGTAATGCAAAAACACGTGTATCCATTATGAAGGATACACTCAGACTGGGCTATTGAGAATTAAGACAATCTTACCTGGTTGTGATTATTACTTACACAGGTACATGTAAATTATCTGCAGTGTAGAGTAGATAAAAAGATTGTCCAGGTGAACATTTTTTACTCAATTTTTCTGTTTTGTTCGAGTTGGGCAGCATGCAGTAAGCCAGTTATTGCATGATTTCTCGTCACTCGGGACTGATTACACCCTCGCTTCGCTCGGGTGTAATAAATCCCTTGTTACTCGAAAACCATGCAATAACCTTTACTTACTGCAGCATGTCGTTTAGGAGATCGCGTGAGCTCTATTAACGATGATCTAGGTTCCTACTGCAGCGTGTTGTTCAGGAGATCGCGTGAGCCCTATTAACCGTGATCTAGGTTCTTACTGCAGCATGTCGTTAAGGAGATCGCGTGAGCTCTATTAACGATGATCTAGGTTCTTACTGCAGCATGACGTTTAGGAGATCGCGTGAGCTCTATTAACGATGATCTAGGTTCCTACTGCAGCATGACGTTGCTGGCATCACTGTGGTGATTCCTACCAATCGTTTTACCAGTCCTTACTGTAACCTATCCCTTCTTTTACGTTTTATTAAATCAATATTGATAACATAAACATATAGCTCAAGTCTTCATAGACAGAACAGGCGGATCTGAATAGTAGTGTCCCCTACTTTCCTTTCTTCTCACTGTCTCTTGTGTCAACATTGTTCCATGAAATATATCATGATGGTAAAATTAATACTTAATGCGCATTATATTGCTCTGAGCAGGTTTGTGTATTGGATCAATTTTACCTTCAAACACTTTTCTTAGTTTGTTTTATTCATTTTAATTACTTTTAAGTAATTTTTATACAATAGTTGATTTCATCTCAAACTATATTTTCCTTTTTATAATAGTTTCTCCTAATAACCATTTTCACCGTATATGCGAATCACCGTACCTAGCTATCAATAAAATCATTAAAAAATATAGATGTATAATGTCAAGGACATTTTCCATGTAGACGGACAACAGGATAAAGACATTTATTGCAAGGAAAACATGTGAAGGAGGGGGACCATCGACAAGCTTTCAGTGTGTGGAAGATGAACAGCATACCACACGTTCCGTCTTTGTGACGAACAAGCTTGGAAGGTGAACAGCATACCACACGTTCCGTCTATGTAACAAACAAGCTTGGAAGGTGAACATCATACCACACGTTCCGTTTATGTGACGAACAAGCTTGGAAGGTGAACAGCATACCACACGTTCCGTCTATGTGACGAACAAACTTGGAAGGTGAACAGCATACCGCACGTTCCGTCTATGTGACAAACAAGCTTGGAAGGTGAACAGCATGCCACACGTTCCGTTTATGTGACGAACAAGCTTGGAAGGTGAACAGCATACCACACGTTCCGTCTATTTGACAATCAAGCTTGGAAGGTGAACAGCATACCACACGTTCCGTCTATGTGACGAACAAGCATGGAAGGAGAACAGCATACCGCACGTTCCGTCTATGTGACGAACAAGCTTGGAAAGTGAACAGCATACCACACGTTCCGTTTATGTGACGAACAAGCTAGGAAGGTGAACAGCATACCACACGTTTCGTCTATGTGACGAACAAGCTAGGAAGGTGAAAATTATACCACACGTTCCGTCTATGTGACGAACAAGCTTGGAAAGTGAACAGCATACCACACGTTCCGTTTATGTGACAAACAAGCTTGGAAGGTGAACAGCATACCGCACGTTCCGACTATGTGACGAACAAGCTTGGAAGGTGAACAGCATGCCACACGTTCCGTTTATGTGACGAACAAGCTAGGAAGGTGAACAGCATACCACACGTTCCGTCTATGGGACAAACAAGCTTGGAAGGTGAACAGCATACCGCACGTTCCGTCTATGTGACGAACAAGCTTGGACGGTGAACAGCATACCACACGTTCCGTCTATGTGACGAACAAGCTTGGAAGGTGAACAGCATACCACATGTTCCGTCTATTTGACAAACAAGCTTGGAAGGTGAACAGCATACCACACGTTCCGTCTATGTGACGAACAAGCTTGGAAGGTGAACAGCATTTCACACGTTCCGTCTATGTGACGAACATGCTTGGAAGGTGAACAGCATACCACACGTTCCGTCTATGTGACGAACAAGCTTGGAAGATGAACAGCATACCACACGTCCCCTCTATGTGACGAACAAGCTTGGAAGGTGAACAGCATACCACACGTTCCGTCTACGTGACGAGCAAGCTTGGAAGGTGAACAGCATACCACACGTTCCGTCTATGTGACGAACAAGCTTGGAAAGTGAACAGCATACACGTTCCGTCTATGTGATGAACAAGCTTGGAAGGTGAACAACATACCACTCGTTCCATCTATGTGACGAACAAGCTTGGAAGGTGAACATTATACCACACGTTCTGTCTATGTGACGAACAAGCTACAGGGGGAAATATGGTAGGAGACAACTCATACTAGCTTTGCCTGGTATACTTATTAACATTATCTCTGCTATGTTGACTATAATTCTTTCTTGAAAACATATTTGTTATATAAAAGTTATTTTTAGTAGCTTGAAGGTTGTGCGATACTCTTATCATATATGTTTATTGATATAGAGAACTTTGATAAATTAGTGAAACTTGTTTCCGATTCGTTTGCAAAATATTATGCAATAAAAATGTTTAAATCAAATTCATATGAATTTACCACCAACTTTTTAAAGAGGTGTTATGTCAGAGCACGTTTTAGCAACTCATTGTATACAATTCAGAATCAGGATATTCCTCTTTAATATCCTTCTCAAGTACATTGATGATTCACAAGGACGTGCTTTATAAATGTGTTCTATGCGGAGGTTTTATTTTGTGTCCGCCCAATAAATTTCAAAATGTAAGGAATGTGAGATTGATTGCTGTAAATCGACACAGCCGTGCAGTGGTAAAGTCTAGCCTAGAATTCTACACTACGTCAAGGGTGATGTCAAGTAATTGTAGTCTGACATACTGGTCACAGATATAAAGCGTTTTCTAATACACATAGCTTTATGCGTTAGTGTATTTATGGCTATGATGGTTTCTGGACTTGGTTCTAAATACATGATATGAGTGTCTGATTTATAATTCTTTACTAGGTCATACTCATTAGGACAGACTCATTAGGACCGACTCATTAGGACCGACTCATTAGGTCATACTCATTAGGACAGACTCATTAGGACAGGCTCATTAGAACAGACTCATTAGGTCAGACTCATTAGGACAGACTCATTAGGACCGACTCATTAGGTCATACTCATTAGGACAGACTCATTAGGACAGACTCATTAGATCAGACTCATTAGGTCAGACTCATTACTTAGTGTATACATATAACTCTCTACTAGGTCATACTCATAAGGACAGACTCATTAGGACAGACTCATTAGGACAGACTCATTAGGACCGACTCATTAGGTCATACTCATTAGGTCAGACTCATTACTTAGTGTATACATATAATTCTCTACTAGGTCATACTCATTAGGACAGACTCATTAGGACAGACTCATTAGATCATACGCATTAGGTCAGACTCATTAGGACAGACTCATTATGACAGACTCATTAGGTCATACTCATTAGGTCAGACTCATTAGGACAGACTCATTAGGACAGACTCATTATGACAGACTTATTAGGACAGACTCATTAGGTCATACTCAATAGGTCACACTCATTAGGACAGATTCATTAGGACAGACTCATTATGACAGACTCATTAGATCAGACTCATTAGGTCAGACTCATTACTTAGTGTATACATATAACTCTCTACTAGGTCATACTCATTAGGACAGACTCATTAGGACAGACTCATTAGGACCGACTCATTAGGTCATACTCATTAGGTCATACTCATTAGGACAGACTCATTAGGTCATACTCATTAGGACAGACTCATTAGGACCGACTCATTAGGACAGACTCATTAGGACCGACTCATTAGGTCATACTCATTAGGTCATACTCATTAGGTCATACTCATTAGGACAGACTCATTAAGACAGACTCATTAGGAGAGACTCATTAGGTCATACTCATTTGGACAGACTCATTATATCAGACTCATTAGGTCAAACTCATTACTTAGTGTATATATGTAACACTACTAGGTCATACTCATAAGGACAGACTCATTAGGACAGACTCATTAGGACCGACTCATTAGGTCAGACTCATTAGGACCGACTCATTAGGTCATACTCATTAGGTCATACTCATTAGGTCATACTCATTAGATCATACTCATTAGGACAGACTCATTAGGTCATACTCATTAGGACAGACTCATTAGGACCGACTTATTAGGACAGACTCATTAGGACAGACTCACTAGGTCATACTCATTAGGACAGACTCATTAGGACAGACTCATTAGGTCAAACTCATTAGGACAGACTCATTAGGACAGACTCATTAGGTCATACTCATTAGGTCATACTCATAAGGTCATACTCATTAGGACAGACTCATTAGGACAGACTCATTAGGACCGACTCATTGGGTCATACTCATTAGGACAGACTCATTAGGACCGACTCATTAGGTTCGACTCATTAGGTCCGACTCATTAGGACAGACTCATTAGGACAGACTCATTAGGTCATACTCATTAGGACATACTCATAAGGTCATACTCATTAGGACAGACTCATTAGGACAGACTCATTAGGACCGACTCATTGGGTCATACTCATTAGGACAGACTCATTAGGACCGACTCATTAGGTTCGACTCATTAGGTCCGACTCATTAGGACAGACTCATTAGGACAGACTCATTAGGTCATACTCATTAGGACAGACTCATTAGGACAGACTCATTAGATCAGACTCATTAGATCAGACTCATTAGGTCAGACTCATAACTTAGTGTATACATATAATTTTCTACTAGGTCAGACTCATTAGGACAGACTCATTAGGACAGACTCATTGTGACAGACTCATTAGGACAGACTCATTAGGTCATACTCATTAGGTCAGACTCATTACTTAGTGTATACATATAATTCTCTACTAGGTCATACTCATTAGGACAGACTTATAGGACATACTCATTAGGTCAGACTCATTAGGACAGACTCATTATGACAGACTCATTAGGTCATACTCATTAGGTCAGACTCATTAGGACAGACTCATTAGGACAGACTCATTATGACAGACTTATTAGGACAGACTCATTAGGTCATACTTAATAGGTCACACTCATTAGGACAGATTCATTAGGACAGACTCATTATGACAGACTCATTAGGACAGACTCATTAGGTCATACTCATTACTTAGTGTATACATATAATTCTTTACTAGGTCAGACTCATTACATAGTGTATACATATAATTCTTTACTAGGACAGACTCATTAGGTCAGACTAATGCCCTAGTGTATACATATAATTCTTTAGTAGGACAGACTCATTAGTCAGACTCATTACCTTGTGTATACATATAATTCTTTACTAGGACAGACTCATTAGGTCAGACTAATGACCCAGTGTATACATATAATTCTTTAGTAGGACAGACTCATTAGTCAGACTCATTACCTTGTGTATACATATAATTCTTTATTATTTCAGACTCATTACCTAGTGTATACATGGAATTGTTTACTCGGTCCGACTCATTACCTAGTGTATACATATATTTGTTTACTAAGTCAGACTCATTACCTAGTGTATACATAGAAATATTTACTAGGTCAGACTCATAACCTAATGTATACATATATTTGTTCACTAATAATTATTTACTATTACAGATTTATTACCTAGCGTATACATGTAATTATTTACTATAACAGACTTATTATCTAGCGTATACTTGTAATTATTTAATAGTACAGACTCATTGCCTAATGCATACGTTAATAAACGAATTTTACAAACCACATTACTGCTTATAGGATCATAATGTACAATAGCTTTGAATATATATTTTACAAGGAAAAGAAAGCTTGAAGTCGCACTTCAGTAATGTAAAAAAAAATCGTTGTTTTAACATTTCGCGTTATTTTGCAAGATCAACTGTCTACATTTTTTGCGTTAATAAAAACAGATTTGACTGATAGTTTTTGTTGTAGTTTGACGGATTTTTCAGAAGTTTTTATTTGTTCCTCAAATTCTTTCTGGAGCAGCCTCTCTGTACAATGTACTTGAAAAGTTCAAATCTGAGTCCTATCACGTACTTCCGATTATACGTGGGCTGTTGGAATCCTATGGACATACTCACTTTCTTTAACTGGGACTCATTATATAATCCGGAAGTCATCCAGAAAGCATAAGGGGGAAAATAAACACTACGGTTGTTACATTTAAAAACATATTTTTTGTAGTATCCCCTTTTCATAACACATAGAAATATAGTGTTGAGGGCAATAGCTATTGGACAAAACAAAAAAAAATAATGCCCGAAGTTGATTTCCAGTGACAGAATCAGTAGAACAACTTCACATTACAAGTAATCGCCCAACTAATCGCTTAAGTCCCCTGGTGATAAATACCTTCTGGTGACAGCCTCCTTCAGATGGACCCAACTTGATTGTATGCCAGAAGATGGTAGACTCGGGCGAGTGCCTGATTAAATCTTTGATCAACGAACACTCCGCACCTAAAGATGTATAATACCAGAGGAGTATTGGAAGGAACTTTGCACATGTTGATGGATAATATTAGAGAAGTAACACAAGACAATCTGCACCTGGTGATGGATAATATCAGAGGAGTAATGAAAGACAATCTGCACCTGTTGATAGATAATATCAAAGGAATCTGCACCTGTTGATGGATAATACCAGAGGTGTAATGGAAGACAATCTGCACCTGTTGATGGATAATACCAGGGCCCATATTCATGAAACCGTTCTCATGCTCAAGCATGGATTTTGTGCTCAAGCCTAATTTCTTGTTCTCGTTATAACTTAATTAATAGATCTTGTTTTGTCAATGATTTGGAAACATTTTTAAGAGACTTGAAGACAAATACTGTTTTCAATGTTTACATTTGACTTTTTAATCGTTTGACATGATTTAAGCGAGTAACAAGAAAGTTGGGTTGAGCACAGAATCCATGCTTGAGCATGAGAACGGTTTCATGAATACGGGCCCAGAAGAGTAATAGAAGACTATCTGCATCTGTTGATGGATAATACCAGATGAGTAACGGAAGACAATCTGCACCTGCAGACGGACAATATCAGATGAGTAACGGAAGACAATGTGCACCTGCAGACGGATAATATCAGATGAGTAACGGAAGACAATGTGCACCTGCAGACGGATAATATCAGATGAGTAACGGAAGACAATCTGCACCTGCAGACGGATAATATCAGAGGAGTAACGGAAGACAACCTGCACCTGTTGATGGGTAATATCAGAGAAGATATCATGGAAGACTATATGTAACTATTGATGGATAATACCAGAGGAGTAATTAACACAATTTTGCACCTGTTGATGGATAATATCAGAGGAGTAACGGAAGAAACTTTGCACCTGTAGATGGATCATATCAGAGGAGTTACGGACGGAAATCTGCGCCTGTTGATTGACAATACCAGAGGAGTAATGGAAGAAACTTTGCACCTTTTGATGGATAATATTAGAGAAGTAATGGAGGACAATGTGCACATGTTGCTGGATAATACCAGAGGTGTAATGGAAGAAACTTTGCACCTGTCTGTGGATGGATCATATCAGAGGAGTAACGGACGAGAATATGCACCTGTTGAGCAATAGTATTAGTGGAGTAATGCAAGAAACTGTCCACTTGTTGATGGATAATATTAGAGAAGTAAAGGAAAGCAAATTGCATCTGTTGGGGGATTATATCAGAGATGTTAGGTAATATACCACATTGTTAACTCACACGGCAAAGGCTTTACCCCACCGTCAAGCACCTCGCCAGTACACAGAACCACATTTTCAGCTCATACACGGCACACACCAAGTCGGACTACACAGCTGATTTTAAAATCAATGTACAGGGATGATTGTGTAATGAAACTAAAGATATAATGAATGCCGACAGAACACTCAGAAGGGGACGGGATAAACCCGGTATTCCTTAGAGTAAATGTTTTCCGCATGTGCCACAAGGGGCACCCGTCATAAGGTTTTCCATACCGACGACCTTAGACGTAACACAAAGTCTTTACACATGACACATAGCACTCATCTAAAACATACAAATGCCACTTAATTTATATATTTTACGAATTGTTCAAGTTCACTTAACACACATCACTCACATTGTTCTCTGTTCATTTCTGTGTGATCGTTACAGATGAATCTGGAGGACAATGGAGATGTCTGCTGTTCTAGGGAGTGGTCATCTTCAACACTAGTGATTCTGACTAGGGGCTTCGTCTCGTCGTTGTCTTGTCCCTCTTTGTGGCTCTTGTCCTCAATATATTCCACGGCGAGGTTGGCTACACTGTCCTCCTCCGGATGGTGGTTCCACATCTCCATGGTTACGTGAGAGCCTCTCAGGGTACCTCTAGATAACAAGATACAGGGTAGTATGTTAACAAGAGATGACGAGGAACAGAAGGTAGTTCTCACTATCGTACCGATATAAATCGACCTAGCGAACATACATACCTTGATTTCAAGATCTCATCATCTATGTAAAGTACAACATCTAATCTATGTAGAGTATTATATCTATGTAAAGTATAACATTTCATCTACGTTACATGTTATATATCATGTATGTAAAGTACTTCATTACTATATCTTTGTAAAGTATAAGATCTCATCTATGTAAAGTCTTACATCTCATCTATGTAAAGAATTACATCTCATCTTGTAAAGTATAACATATCATCTTGTACAGTATTACATCTCATCTATGTAAAGTATTACATCTCATCTATGTAAAGAATTACATCTCATCTTGTAAAGTATAGCATATCATCTTGTACAGTATTAGATCTCATCTTGTAAAGTATTACATCTCAACTTGTAAAGTATTACATGTCATCTAGTAAAGTCATATTTCTCATCTTGTAAAGTATTACATTTCATCTATGTAAAGTATAAGATCTCATCTATGTAAAGTATTACATCTCATCTTATAAAGTGTTACATCTCATCTTGTAAAGTATTACATCTCATCTAGTAAAGTATTACATCTCATCTTTGTAAAGTATAAGATCTCATCTATGTAAAGTATTACATCTAATCTTATAAAGTGTTACATCTCATCTTGTAAAGTATTACATCTCATCTTGTAAAGTATTACATGTCATCTAGTAAAGTCTTATTTTTCATCTATGTAAAGTATTATATCTCATCTTGTAAAGTATTACATCTCATCTAGTAAAGTATTACATCTCATCTTTGTAAAGTATAAGATCTCATCTATGTAAAGTATTACATCTCATCTTGTTAAGTATTACATCTCATCTATGTAAAGTATTATATCTCATCTTGTAAAGTATTGCATCTCATCTATGTAATGTGTTACATCTCATCTTGTAAAGTATTACACGTCATATAGTAAAGTCTTATTTCTCATCTATGTAAAGTATTACATCTCATCTTGTAAAGTGTTACATCTCATCTATGTAAAGTATAAGATCTCATCTATGTAAAGTATTACATCTCATCTTGTTAAGTATTACATCTCATCTATGTAAAGTATTATATCTCATCTTGTAAAGTATTGCATCTCATCTATGTAATGTATTACATCTCATCTATGTAAAGACTTATATCTCATCTATGCAAAGTCTTATATCCCATCTTGTAAAGTATTGCATCTCATCTTGTAAAGTATTATATCTTATCTTGTAAAGTATTACATCTCATCTTGTAAAGTCTTATATCTCATCTTGTAAAGTATTAATCTCATCTTGTAAAGTAATAATCTCATCTATGTAAAGCATAAGATCTCATCTATGTAAAGTATTACATCTCATCTTGTAAAGTATTAATCTCATCTTGTAAAGTAATAATCTCATCTATGTAAAGTATTATATCTCATCTTGTAAAGTCTTATTTCTCATCTATGTAATGTATTACATCTCATCTATGTAAAGACTTATATCTCATCTATGCAAAGTCTTATATCCCATCTTGTAAAGTGTTACATCTCATCTTGTAAAGTATTATATCTTATCTTGTAAAGTATTACATCTCATCTATGTAAAGTATAATATCTCATCTTGTAAAGTCTTATTTCTCATCTATGTAATGTATTACATCTCATCTATGTAAAGACTTATATCTCATCTATGTAAAGT